TAAACGTTAACTATTACGTTAAGCACAGATTATGAAACGACGTGGAAACGAACGTTAAACAGTCTTGGCTCGGTATTTTCCTCTTTTCCAGCTTGATGGAAACGATGGACGCTCCAAAGGTCCTGCAATATAAGATTATTTATTTCTAATTAATGTTTATCGCTTTAAATGAAACGCAATGCTGGTAGCTAGTTAAGACTAATAATAGAACGGCTACATTTAGAGTCGATCGAAACGTGAATATTAACGTTCTCACCAATCTGCTGATTTTTATTCTACGATTTATAGAAAATGCACGTTAACGCTGTACGATTTGCGTCACGAGAGAAGGGTGAATGACGCGGGGCCGCTGGTGTTTCGCAATCGATGGAGAAAGCAATTGCATTGTACCTGATTCAACGAGATAATTCGCGTAAGAACTTTGAGGGATACGTGGTCGTACGATTTAATCTTCGCGAGATTCTTTTCTGGAATTCAGAGTTAGCAATTCGGATGTCACACATTCTTGCGACAGCGTTCGTGTTACTTGGATTAATTAAACAAAAAAAAAAATTTAATATGAAATAAGGAAGTCGTATGAAGAGGCCTTGGGCAAGCGTTGAGTTCCATTAACTCAAGAATAACAGGACAATTTATTAGACCATGAAAAATTTTAAGTGAGTAGATAGCATCGGCAAACTGCCTACAAGCAATGTGACCATAATTAGGATCTCTTCTATGCACGGTGCAATCTGGTTTGTAGAAAGTATGACGAGATTTGTGCATTTTCATTCTTTCCGAAGTAAAACTTTCACGATTAAACGTTCATCGACGCGACTGACTGGCATACCTACACAAAGATAACGACAGACGAGGATTTGTAATTGCACTTTTCGAGACCCGTTTCGTACAACACGATAATCCCACCTCTTCGGTTGTTGACATTTCAATCTTCGTAGATTTGCAGTATGAGGATAAATTCAGCATCGTCGACGAGCAATTTATTCATAAATACCAACAACCATGAAGGAAAACGACGACAATTCCAAGTTCCACGACTGATGCGGTAAGTCCAATGATTTGAGGAAAGCGTAGCCGCTTTGTTAATACTGCGTATTCATGATTACCGGAAATAAAAACTATTCAATTTCGTATAATTGTACGTGTTTCATATTCATAGTTCTTCGGAACCGTGTACATAGATATTTGTTGTACGTGTCAATTGAACTTTCAAGCGGTCGATTTCGTGAGCTTGATTGAACCAACGAGTCATTTTCATCAGACACACGCGCTTCGAAATTTCGGGGTCCTTCAAATTGAACTCCACGATAAATTCAACCTTCGCTTTGAATTTAACGGGTCGTCAACTCTTCTTCTGTTGCTTTATCATATCATTGGTTGATATTACATCTTTTCTTCTTTTCTTCTAGCCTTATGTAACAAACTCAGTAAAACGTAATCTATCTTGTTTTATTCATTTAGGTTGTCGAGAATGAATCCGACGAGAGATACTCGAGAGCGATCCCACTTGGAGATTTGTCGCCTAAAGAGAGATTCTATCTCGATTTCTTTCCTCGTTCGCCAAACACAGGTCACCCAAATCGTTCCTCTCGCCGCGCACTCGACAGTTCGTCCATCTTCGTTTGCTTCCATGAACCGGTTTCAAACTCGTTTCCGTGGCTCCTGGTAATCACACGAACGACCTTCTTCTGTTATTCGTGGTTGCTCGCCGGCAAGTAGCCGCGTCTTGGCGAATGCTACACTGCCAACCATAAGCTTTCTCTAAGCATTGGGTTCTTCTTCAAGGTCGCCGAATTTCTTCCTCCGAACAGTAACGCGAGTGGTAGTGTACGAAAATCGTTTGGTCTCGTTGCAACGCAGCCCTCGAATGTGCCAAATCTCGCGAAGGTTATCGTCACCGAGAACAGATCGACTCGAGACCACGAAACACGTGCTCGTAGTTTCGTTTTCGCTGTATCCGTGTAGCTTATTGCTTTAGCTCGTTGCTGGCCGCTTAAACTGTCATCGAGCATTATAATATCATTCGTCTAAATAACGGTGACAGTTCGAAACGCGACAATATTGTTTGTTGTTTAATTGGGTTTCGTTTCGCGAGATGAATCGAAACTGGAACGTCTCGGATAAAGGGATTTCCTGAGAAAACATTCCGCAAACTGATAACGTCATAAAAATGGCTGTAATTACGCCGACGAGAACATCGTGAACTGTAATAAAACATTCCACGGATTGGTTCGACCTAAAGATTCGACCTAAAAGGTCCTTAATAAGAGAGCTCTCCTATTAAGAGTCGATGATTCTTCTACGCAGACACGTGGCGAATATCCGTGAGTAAAAACACTTAATTCTTGAAAGTAAAACTCGCTCGCATTAGTCGCACAGCATTAATTATTGTAGGCATATCGGTGCCATGCGTTTCATCTACATTGTCCATCGCAGACGAAAACATTTGCATTTCTAATCGCCGCCATAAACGAGATTGTTTTATCAACGATTCTGAATGCAATTATTCAGTCGCGGCTACGGATGAAGACGCGTCCCGAGGTGTATCTTCGAAACTCAGAAATTGTCAAGCATAAATTATTCAGAGTTAGTCGGCGTTTGATATGAAATTTACGATACGCGCGGATGGCAAGTTTACAAAAGTTATCGTTATGTTCGAGCAAACACGGAAATAAATTTCCCCAGAAATAACCGAAAGAATTCGTATATATTTTATCTAAGTTTCGAAAGAGGTTATTGAAAAACTGTGAGTCATAACTTAACGCAATTATGGTAATGTTTCACATGTTTCTACACTTTAACAAATTACTCAAATTTCAGATATTATTAAACATAAAGGATCGTTCGTTATCCCGGGATCATTAGTCTAATGATAGAAAAACGGGCGAAAAACGACGACGCGAATACAATGAGTAATTAATGTCGAAGATATCTGCAGATTTTCTGCGTAGAATCGACGACCCTGAATACCACAATGCCGATAATTATCGGCACTAACCAGCTGATTAAAGAACAGTATTTTCTGCCTCTGTGATAATAACACATTACACTGTGTACGCTATCATAATAGGTTTATGAAATTATGCATAAACTTTTTGCCTCTGAATAACACCGAAGACGTGTAGGATTTATTTATTGTACTACTTGCTTGATCTCCTTTTTGCCGGAACAAAAGAAAAACATGAATGAGGTATACATTGTCTGTCTTGGAATGCACGTGTGTATCGAAACAAATGGAGTTAATTGCAACACCTTTTTTACAATCGAATCGCGATGGAAACCGACCAATCGATTGGATACTCATAAAATTAAAAACTGGGTTAAATTGTCGCCAAGCGTAACCAATATAATTATGTTGTATTACATATTATACACTGGCACAAAAAGTGGACAAGTTGTTGAATAACGACATACCTTGAAGAAAGTTATTTTTTTTTTCTTACTTGTCAACGTAAATTCATAATTTTCTTCTATCGTTTACCCATGTCACCTAATGATATATCTAACCAAGATAAGGACTTCGAGGAAGTCGAGCTTCAATTACTTGCAAAATTCGATGCAAAATGTCGCGATCATTTGTCATTTTTATGCCGAGTCTCTAAAGCAAGGTACGCATTCCACATATCGTAACAGTTACATACAAACTGAGTTTATTTCAATAAATGGAATAACAAGCATTTGAAACAAATCTTTTTTTAAATTCCCCTTATTTCTCTAAATAGACGCTGACAAGATTGCCGCAGATTTATGAGGGTGGGTTATTTTCCACGATCAAGTTATCTACTCCATCGAACGCGACTAGGCTTCCGGTTCAAACCGTTCGCCAGTGGATCCCCGCCATCAGACTATCCGTGTCATACTTAATTAATGCGTGTGCAATGCTCATAAATATCGACGAATCCGTTAATGACTTCGTTCGTGTAATCTCTGCCAAGTACGGCATAAATAAAATTCAACGTCTCCTTCCTTGATTCTTGGTCTAAGTCACCCCTTATCGAATAGCGAGAGGAAATTTTTGATTGGGTGTCTCCGTTGTCAACGGAATGAATCTATACTCGTCGAATATGCTAATCACTTCGTAAGCCATGAAAACAGTGGCAGCCGAGAGTTCGAAGCTTCGTTAGTTTCACGGACGAGCCCCTGGCTGTCAGTCTCGTAAATTTTAATATTTGACGTTGCGCTTTATTACGTATCAGCCACCGACATAAACAAAGCAATTCCACACCGTGTATTTATCTCGTGATTCTCTTTTATTCAAGGGTAACAGGTTTCTGCAGTGCGTAACGTTGCTGGCGGTGTTTCCGAGTTTCCGTATCCGGAGTTTCGCGAATGGACTCCATTACTCATGCCGAGTGCGCTGCGAGCAATCGACAGGGTGGCTTTGTCGAGAACTGCGTGTCCCAAACACTTTCGAGCGCATTTTCCTCCTACGTAACACTGACGCGTATCTTTTTTATATATCTCGGTTACACACGTCGTACGAAAAACTTGAAGGAAATATGCATTTTCGAGAAACTTGCACTCGCGTAAATTTATCCTGGACAATCACCGAGAAAGTTTGCTAGACTTCCATCAGAGGGGACATCCGAGTGCAAAGGGTTATATTCGGAAGTTCGAAGTAACAAATTGAACGGATGTTCACAAGGTACTCGACGCAGTGGGCACATCACGGTTAGTCGAGCAAAGAGACTAAGCTATCATCGGTCGTCCTCGAGTGCGCTTACCTGTGCGTTGATTTTACGACTCTGCTTTCGCGATGTGCGAGCAAAAATGTGACACAAAAATGACACAGACGTCACGAGGAAAACCCACCGACGCGACACTCGATGCGCGAGATCTGGCGAGTCGCGAAACCCCCCGTTCAAGTTCTCCAATGACGTCACGGACGATCCACGGGGGCCCAAAGGTATCGGCGTCCAATGGCCGATCGACGCCTGCTGGTGGGGTTCCGCTTTCGTCTGCACGCGCTATAAAGCCCCGCTAATTGTCCGCGGCGCGAACAGTCGGTGCGTGCCCCCTTTTAAACGATGATGTAGCACGCCGTCCGAATAATATCTCGTGCTACTCGTCGGCCAAGATCACTGTCGCGATCGAGATCGAGCACGTGTCCCGTTCCAAGGGCCACGGTTGATCGTTGCGATTCGCGCGTCTGTACATTTTGCCGAGAAGTGGGCCGTGTCTTGAGAAAGAAGAAGTGCTCGAGAGGCCTGGGATCTTTCTTCGAGTCTTCCTTTCTTCGTTTGTTCTTCGCTCGATAATCGACTGGTCCCGCGATCTGTGGACAAGTTGTTCGTGTTACACCTGACTTTAACAAGGTAAATTTCGGATTTCGAATCCGCTCTGCTGCGAATGTACCTTGTGTCTCAGGTGTCTCGCAGCTCGCTCGTGTTTCGTTAATTTCCTCCTCGTCGGTCCGACCGCGATCCCATCGATCGCTCCGAGTTCGTTAACCCCTTCGTGTCCGCAGCTAGATGCAGTGAATATTATTTTTCTTTCTCAATTCGCACGTTGCGACGAATATGCACTGAACACGATACAGTGGGGCGCGATAATGTTAAATTTCTTGGAAGACATCGCGATCGATGCTCGGCGAAGTCTGAGCCCCGTGATCCTGAATTTGATAACATCGGACGACGAGCTTATTTAACGAGCTGCCGTGGAGTGGCCGTGAGTCGTAAGGAACGAGTTTCTATTTTTCGTTTCGTTTCGCTTTGTTATCGAGGAGTTGAGCCATTGTTACGAGAAAAGGTGCAGGTGAAACCGGGACGAAAGTGAATCCGGGCGAGTATCGGCGCTCCACTTTTCAATGCGACATTATTGCGCGTAGTTTATACGCTTCGCGGAGTTCTATCGGTCTATCGTCGCGTGCATCGATGAATTTCAATGGTGATCGCTTTCTCGGATCGAGGAGGCGAGAAAACGCAACCGAGGTAAATCGTATGCAAAATCATGCATCTGTGCTGCGACCGTTCCATTAATAATTAGCACTTTGGGATAAAATTGTTCGAAGGTCCGAAGGTCTGGGTAACAAGTTGCCGAAGATAGACATGTTCGGTTCGTATGTTGCTTTACGAGTCTTGCGATTAGAACGGATGTAAACAATCGGATCGAACACGATACCGCTATCGCTTGTTCTAAAATGTTTCCAATTACTCCAATTATTGTTTCGAAGAATTCCGACCAGCGCACACCACAAACATGAATATATAAAGAAAAATTTCTTTAATTTCTTTTTTAAATTACATATGCGTCCACCTGTATATATTCTGTAAGAATATTCTATTTTCTTTCGGAAAGGTATGTTTTCTCGATAACCTTGTTTTATAGGAAATTTTCAATAATCCAACCACTGCCAATGTATCTGATCATCGCGCGTACATCAACGTAGAATGCGCAACGCGGTTTATGCAAATTTCTCCGAGCCCGTAGAAAATGGCAGTTATGTCATGGTTTCGTAGTTTCCTGTATAGATTATTTCTGTTTTTTCTTTTTATTTATTTCGCATGGCGAAACAACAACACGAAGCCGTACAAAATACCTAGTAATCTTCACTTATGAAACATTTATGGATTTGTCAGGGACCGCGCATGCCGATGGCCAAGCAGGAAAGACCTTGCGTCGAGTTTCTTCGATTGAATCGCGAATCGTAACGCGAACAAAATTTTGTAGAGCTGGAACGTTAATAAAATTCCACATTTGTCAGCAACTACGTTTACGAAAGTAATCGTTTTCATCTGATCTCGCTTACTTTCGGTTGCGATGCGCTTGTGTGTTTACATTTCATATCGAAGCGCAATCGCAAAATGGGAACGTCGACCGTGCAAACAGTAATTGCACGGTGTAAATAATATCATGTTGCGTCTAAAAACGAGCATGCAAAAGGGGTTTCTCTTTGGAAGTAAAAAGACTTGGCGCAGGATAAAGGTGATCGGAAAAAGTGCTTAATTAGCGTCAAATTAGAAACTCGTGGAATTGAAAAGTTATTGTATCGTATGTGTTTTCCTTCTTGACTTGGTCGAAACGGACGAATCGATTGCCAACGATTAAATATCTTGTGACTACAGGAAGTCGTAGTAGGTGATTTAATAACATTCTAGATATGCATTTGTTTGAGATACGTGGAATATTAAAAAAGATAACCGGTTCGAGTTTTCTTCGATAGAGATTACTACTTGTAGACTTCACGAATGGCATTCTACGTACCTAATTACCATTTGCTTCGAGAGAATACAGTTCTCTCAATGCCAATTAATTTTTTCGAATGGGTGTGTCGGCCTAGACGTAGACGATTCGTTCCCTCGAGTTGTGTAGGTGTTGCAGTGCTTGGGCGCACTGTTCTGTATATGTCTTCGTTTTATCGCGAACCAAATAAATGAAACATTAAATATAATTATGTTTCAAGCATAAAATTAAAATTTCTACCTATCGAATAAGATCTTTTATTAGTTTTCCGATAAAGAGGATCCCCGAGTAACTTTATAGCAACGCTAAAGCGGGTCTGCAACGAAGCCGTCTGTTTCCCGATCCTCGACCAGTCGACAAAAGTAATCTGCTTGTCTCCAAGTTCATCCGTTTTTAGCTCCAAAGCTAATTCCCAACCCGTCGAGGATGGAGTACAGCAAAAATGCTAGGAAACCGTTAACATTCGATGTACAGCTGATCGGGGGATTCTTTTTTCGCGATTCACGTTCACCTTGAACCAACGTACACGCGTGTGACTCGAGTTAAGTAATCGGGAATTGTTAATTTGCAGAGATCGAGACAGTGACAGTCATGGTTGAGCCTGTGAAAGCGGAGGAAGGCGAGCGTCCTAAGATCACGGCCTTCGACGACATCCTGCCGTACGTAGGCGAGGCCAGCCGCTACCAATGGTTCCTTTTCTTCTTGCTCCTGCCCTTCACCTTCGTTTACGCGTTCCTCTACTTCACACAGTTCTTCATCACGCTGGTGCCGGCCGAGCACTGGTGCACCGTGCCGGACCTCGATGGATGGAATCTCACGGACCACGAAAAGTAAGTTCCCTCGGGCTATCGGGTCTGTTAAGATGACGGAGTGATCGTTGCATTGTATTAGGTTGTATTGGGTTGTCCGGAAAGTTCGTGCCTATTTTCAAGAAAAATTCAAAGGCATATTTGAATTTTGATGTATATTTATTGAATTATATGTGTACCATTTTGTTCCACAACCTTTCCACCTGTTAAAGAATGTACACATTTTATTTGTTTCCATCCATTCTGATACATACAGACTTGTACCGCTGTCTAAAAATCGCCATGGACTTTCCAGACAGCCCAATACCAAAAGTTTCTTCCATTTCATTAATAAGTAATACATACACAATATTTTGTCTCTAAGGTTACATTATCGAATCGCGTACGATTCATTTTGCTCCGTTACTATTACAACATTAACATGTAAGAAATTAGGTTGTCTATTTATATAAACATTGCCACACAAAATAACTGAGTGGAAGTCACGGAAGAAACTTTTGGGACAACCTAATACTATACATGAAGGAAAGTAACGTAGATTTCTAGAATTTGTTTGCTATCGGAATATTTTAAAATTTCTGCATGTTGCTCTAGTTACGCAACAAATGACATCATTATACCTGTCGTATCTTATCGCGTGGACTGTTTTCAATCTATCCTAACGTTTTGTTAAAACGTGAACAAAAAATGAATTTATTGTTCGTCGATGGTGTACATACCGCCCATCTTTTCGATCAGAGTCGACCTGTCCTCGGTCTGACGGTCACCTCGTCAATTGTAGGTTAATATTCAGTGAGATAAACCGCACGAGTCCTAACGAATTGATATACTGTGACAACCGATAACAATGACAAACGATCGGTAAACCGTCTAACGGAAATAATGCCGCGGAGATTCGTTAGAAGACCAGTCTGCCATATTTACGAGTGCACTCTATCAAGTAGATAAACTTTGTGCAAACTTGTCATTCGCACAGAAATTTCATTATAGAATAGATAACGCGTACCGACAAGGAGGTAGTATGTGACTTCAAGAATTGAATGAGAATTGCAACAAATAGCTCTTGTTGCATTTCAAGAATACTGGGATTACGGAGACACGGTACTATTTCTTCAACTCTAATGACATTCGACTGGTCGTTCATGAAATGCGTCACGTCGTCGGCTCCAGATCAGGAAAATCAGCTCGTGTTTCCCACTGAATCACGATACTGAACTACGTACGTGATCGGTGGTTTCCCAGCGTTCGACGCGCTTCTGCGGAAACCAGTTTGGTCGACGACCTCCCGCTGACTCTTGACCGCAGTTTACTTCTGCGACTTGGTTCGATTCGAATTATGATTACCCGAAACTGCGATAGAACGAAAATGCAGTGGAACGATATTAAAGAAATTAAAGGAAGGAATCGTACGCATCCCAAATCCTCGAGCTTTTTCACAAATGCGTGGATGTTCGACGGAACGGTGAAATTCTGTTTTCCCACAGGATCGCGTTATCGATACCTCCAGCATCGACCGAAGAGTTGAAGATGGAAGGTGCCACTGCGTTTTCGCGATGCAGCATGTACAACGTAAATTACAAGGAATTATTGGAAAACGGTACCAGAACAGCCGATCACTCGTGGCCCATCAGAACATGTCAGCACGGATGGACTTTCAATCACACGATGATACCATACAAATCCATAGCCGTCGAGGTGAGTAAACTTGATGTATTCCTTGTGCTATTTTATGTTTCCACATAGCGTCTTCTTTAACGACGGTACAATTTTTATTAGGTCGTCCCATAAGTTTGCGCCGCAGACTGAATCAATATTTAATAAAAAAAATTATACATTCCTTCTCTAATTCGAGTTATAAATTAAAATGAAGTGAAACTCGAGTGTTGAAGTTTAATTCAAGTACATAAGTTGTCTACTTTAAGAGCTCGTTTAATAAAAAAAAAAAAAAAACATACACAAATTTTATCGTTACTGTATAATTTGAGTAGCAGAAGAATAAGTGGCATGAATTTATGGGACGACTTGATACATCGTTCTACAAAGTATCTCGTGAATCAGTGTTGGGCAAACGTGATCGAACTAACGATTGATCGAGACTCTGTAATTGCGAAAATCAAACGCCTGTGGCAATCGTTAATTGCCGGTTGCAGTTGCAATTGATAACTAAATTCTGTAATTGGAAAAAGTCGGTTGCTTGTAATCACTCGTTAATCATCCGCCTGGTTGTGGATATGCAGCGGCTGTAGACAATCTGTAAGTTAAGGTCAAGTATTATCTCGTTCCACGCGTCAAATTAGGAAAAATAAGCGAAGAGCAGTAAATCGCGCGCATAGCTCGCCCGTGACCGTAACGTAGCCAATTTGTTCTTTCTAGCTGGAATGGGTCTGCGATCAGGCTTTCCTAAGCTCCGCAGCCCAATCGGCCTTCTTCGTGGGTAGCATCCTCGGCGGCTTGATATTCGGTTACATAGCCGACCATTATGGCAGGATTCCAGCGTTGGTCGCCTGCAACACGGTAGGATTCGTCGCTTCCGTGGCCACGGCGTTTTGCAACAATTTCTGGAGTTTCTGTCTGGCAAGAATGATCGTCGGAACGTCGTTCGATAATTGCTTTAACGTTCTTTTTATTATCGGTAAGTTACACACGAATCTCCGCACCCGGATGTTTCGATGCGCGTGCTATTTTGAAATCGTTATTCAAGGATTACCGATAATTACCATTTTATAAAATGCACGAGCACCCGAGCGTCTTACATAAATGAAAGATAATCGATAGTTTGAACGTCGATAGGGAAGGTCCGAGAACTTTTCGAACCGACTTTACGTGTAAGCAATTATTGTATCGTATCGAAGCACTTATCGACAGGTGCGCATTCACAAGAAAGAAAAAAGAAAAAACGATAAATGTCATATTTATGAAAATGATTACGATATCTGAGCGTAGCTTTCCCACAAAATGATAAGATACTATTAACGAGCTTCTTACTTCAAACGCGAGGAAAATTAATTTTTAAAAAGATTCTAAGCTTGACAGTGATGTATGCAACAATATTGTTAAATGCTCAATGTTATCGTATATGTTGCAAAAAAATGAGGCAACTTTGTGACAGCTACCCAACGCCGAGCACGAGCTCTAAACTAGACAACTTAAGTACTTGAATTAAACTTCGACACTCGAGTTTCACTTAATTTTAATTTATAACTAGAATTAGAAAAGGAATGCGTCCGATTTGGAAGTTACATCGGGGCGTCAGTAACTGTATCATCGGCTTCGTTTACAAGACCTTGCGTTTTTTTGCCCAGCAACGTTCAGAACGCGTACCGTTTCGTAAAAGAGACGCTTGTACGTTTATTTATGAGCGGTACGCTCGCGAGTATCTCGTGCAATGGAATGAAATCACGGTGTCGTAAATGTCGTTTCAGTGATCGAGTACGTCGGCCCGAAATACCGAACACTGGTAGCGAACATGTCCTTCGGGTTTTATTTCGCGGCAGCTGCGAGCCTTCTGCCTTGGATCGCTTATTGGATCGCCGATTGGAGGATTCTAAGCATAGCCACCGCCTGTCCCATGGTGGTCGCTTTCTTCGGGCCGTGGATCGTTCCTGAGAGCGCACGGTAAGACAACGAGCTCTGCGTTTTAAACACGCGTTCCGAACTAACGCGGAAAACTACGCTTACCCTTTCCATTGATACGTAAAATTATGGAATAAACGTGAAACTGTTTTTACTTTTCAGTTGGTACATCACCAGCGGCCATATCGACAAGGCGATCGCGATGTTGAAGAAGTTCGCGAAAGTGAACGGCAAGGAGGTGAAACAGGAGATATTCGACGAGTTCGAGAAGAGTTGCAAGTCGATGATAGAGAAGGACAAATCGCATAATCAGTACACCGTCCTGCACCTCTTCAAGTTACCACGCCTTGCTCGTATCACAGTCATGCTCATCATTTACTGGTGAGTCGACCTGTTGGTCTGTCAACCGCATCTATTTTCATAAAACTGAAATGATCGTAAATGGAATGCGGTCGTTAGAGCAAACAAGTCTAAATTCCCGATCGATCGACCTGTTGGTTCGGCTCGTTTTCAGGCTCCTCATGGTGTGGGTGTTCGACGGCCACGTCTGGAACATGAAGCTTCTGGACCCCAACGTCTTCATGTCCTTCTCTTTGGCCTCTCTTACCGAACTTCCCGCCGCCATTCTTCTTGCACTCTTTCTGGACAGGTGGGGCCGACGATGGATGGGTTTCGCGTCCATGTTCCTGTGCGGAATCTTCTCCTTTATCGCCGTGGTCACTCCGCCTGGTAAGTTCTTCCGTAATCAACAGTCTGTCCAACGGTTTATCTACTTAAGCATGAAAAACGACGCCGAAGGAAGATATTTATAGAAAAAATGTACAGAAAAACAACCGTAAGTTATTGAAACGCTGGTTGTTGGGGTCTCGCGACATCCCGAGGGAATATGGTGTACCGCGAAACGCACCCGCGGGGAGGTATTTCATTCTAAATACCGATGAGCGAGTCCAATTAGATCGAGAATGCAACGTGGACTCGGGAGCATTTACATATTTCTCAACTTGTTCAAGGTGCGACAACCGTCGGTATGGCGATCGTAGCGCGTCTCGGAGTCAATATCGCCGGAAATATTGGCTTCCAATACGCCGCGGAAATGCTACCAACCGTGGTGCGAGCCCAAGGAGTGTCCTTGATCCACATCATTGGTTACTTTGCACACATATTGGGTCCGTACATCATTTATCTGGTAAGTGAAATTCTTGGTATCCAAACACCCTGCAGACCGCAATGTCGATGTATCCTTCGTTACTCTGTATCATCGTGTTTCCTGTTTAGGCTGACATTAATCCGCATCTGCCGCTCATTGCACTGGGTCTGCTGTCCTTCTGTCACGCCTTCTTGACCCTCGGTTTACCAGAAACCTTAAATCAAGACTTGCCAGAGACTCTTCAGGAGGGCAACGATTTTGGCAGAGATCAAAGCTTCTGGTGGATACCTTGCGTATCCTCGTGAGTAACATTTTTTTTTATTTGTTTTTTTTTTTTTTGTCGCGAACAGCGTGTCTTCGTCTATACCTATTAGTTAAAAATTGAACGAACACTCGGGCTCTGACAGTATCTGAAACCTTCGAAAATCGATAGATAGTATAGACGGGTGTTGGACGTATAAAACGTTCAATAAATTATCAGTAATTGCTCTCATTCTCGATTGCCGGCAATATTTGATCGATAACAATGTTCGATGAAACTTGCAGGAGCCAGAAACTGAAGAAGTCCTACAGGAAAAAGAATGGCCTGTCGAATCCAGCCTTCATCGGCAGTGTTCAAAAGATCGACTGCACTAGATTATAGCGATCGTTAGACGATGACGAGTACCGGCCGGTAAAACTTGCCAAATCCTTTGTAAATATAGTTATTAAACAGCGAGTGTGATGTTAGGTGTTAAGATATGTTGAAAACGTTGTGAGAGATTTTAAGAAACATTGAAGGAAAATGTCAACGCTGCGCGCAGAGCGCAAAGAGGGAGACGAGAATCTTCGGATTACATAGGTATTATCCTGCTTCGAGAAAATGATCTTTGAAAACGACCGTAAATTGCTGGCGATGTCAGTGCATTCGCTCTTTTAAAATTATAGACTAAAGAGCCGTTTTATCTCGTTACATAGTCTCAGAGCTTCTTTAGGATTAATGACGCGGTACGTTTCTTCTGCTCGTAATTTGATAAGAGCATTAACGCAATTCGAACGTTGCTTCGGATATCTCCAGAGATGATCTTCTGGAAGCAGGACTGGATACACCGTAACGATCTATTGGAATAACATCCAACCACGTGTTCAACCTATGTACGAGCTCTTGTCTTCCTTGTACGAGGACATGTTACAGTATTTTTATATTTGCTCAGTGGATCGAAAGGAAACAATGGCTGTTGAGCATCTATTTGCTAATTGAAAGTTGACTCATTTATGGAGATACTATTATCGCCAAGTATCGCCAGGAATCGTTACAAAACTCGAGCTGTAGCGTTCGTCTATAAGTAGCCCGCAATTAAACGAACCAATACATACGTAGACCACTTCCTTCCGTCGCCGTACCGTCGACTTGTTTTCACGTATTCATAGCAATTCATCATTTATGCGAACCGTTAGCATATTCAGCGATTCGTTCTAGTTTCGAACCGACTTACGAAACGTTTGATTGTTGCAAGTAAATTCTCATCCGCGAAGAAACACGAATTTATTTCCGTCTATATTTTTTTTTTTTTTTTTTAACTACTTTCATTCCTTCGATCCTGTTCACACTAAATGCTCAATTCGTATCGCATCGCAGTTCAACGATGATTCTAGAACTGCTTAGAATCGTATTAGTGTCATCCGCGTACTTACGAGACTAGTCCCCGCTTTCAGTCCTTCGATTATTCAAATTCATACGCTGCGAGACGAAGATGTTCGATCGGTGAGATTTTCTCTGTTACTTCGCCATCGAGTTCAGGAATTTTCGCAAGCAAGCACGCATCGCGATAGTTGTCTCGAAACTGTAAATAACTGTTTAAACCATCCCAGCTTCTCCTAGAACGTTCGAGTATTCGCGAAGCTGTTGTCCGTTCAACGACTCGTAATTTATGTAACTATATGTACATTCAAAGCCCCTGGATTGCAAAAGTGAAGCCGATCTAGAGGCGCGCTAGAAAATATACAATCGTCGACGAAGACCAACGTGTATATTTAACAATAAGTATAGATGCGTTTAGCGGTTTAGTCAATCGTTCAGAGAATATTGACACTTGAAAACAAACCCAAAAGTATTTCTACATCGAGGATTGTACGTACTTTATTTTCATCACTGTTTCGTGTGAAAGTTCAGGGAGAGACAATTGCCAATAAATATAAGTCGTATATTCTTCGATTAATAGAGTTATTATTGATTCAATGATGAACACCGATCGTTACGATGGCACGATATAATATTGCATAGTCTACAATATTAAATTATTCGATTACTCCTAAATCGTGATAACAATTGAATTTTTTTTTTTTTTCACAGAAGCGTCAAAGAGTCTTCCTATATTTTCTAACAGAAATCGAAACCACGATTTTTATATTTACTATCGCGAACATTACTTTTTGGCAGTCAGTCGTCACCTAAAACCGTCACTGACGATTAAAATCGTTCGCTAATTAGGAACATTCGCTTTCCGCCATATAAAAATGATCGAAATCATATCGACAACATTACGGTATATGATTACGAATAACAATGAACAGATTTCCTCTTCGTAACTAACATTAAATCCATGGAGTAGCCTCTTCTGCAAAAATCTATTCTTATCTCCGTTCAAACTACCGACCATAATTCGAGTGAAATGTCGATTACTAAGGCTGCGCCACTCTCTGGCCACATGGACGCGTGTATCATAAAACAGCGTTAAAGTAAAAAAAAGATCTTAAAGTTAAGGATAAAAATACAATCTGGATAGGAACACAACTATCGGCCGTTTTTACTACGCGTATCGCAGAGTAGAAACAGCATTAAAACGATAAATTCTTAAAATACAAAAGATGAATGAAAATTACGTAGGAATATAAGCGACATTCGGTGCCCGTTCGTCGACTACAATGTCGCAAATTTTACTTTTAAATGGGGCGCCATCTTACTCCTTTGCGTTCTCCATTAAAATTCGTACAACGATACGATTATCGTTCGCAAGACTGATAATGCCGATCGAATTCCGACTTCTTGTTCCAAGGTAACGACCAGAAATTTTGATCCTTCCCGAACTCTTCTCCTTGACTGATGGTGTGAGGAAGACACTGGCCCAGCGTTTCCGGTAGGAAGACGACCAGGGCAGCGCCAGCGAACGAAACCGTGCTAATGATCAGCATTGGGAATCCTTCCCACACTACGGCCTGTCGAACGACACATTTATTAGCGATCCTTGCATTCTTTGTTTGTTTAAAGTCCCTTTTCAGGAGAGACGTTCACCTACCGAGACTGTTATGTACGGTGCCAAGGTGTGCGCGATGATACCGAAGATATGAATTAGCGATACACCCTGCGATCTGACGGGCGTCGGCAACAGTTCCGCCGCGTATTGGAGGCCGATATTGGCTGCCATGTTCAAACAGAATCGCGACATCACTGACATCGCTAGCTTGGCAGCGACTAAAAAGTGAACCGTAAAATGAGACGAACGAAACAACTGTGACTACTTTCGCCTATTTACCGGATTGTAGTACGAGCTCGGCGATGCTGAGGACGCAAGTAATCGCCAAGGTGAGAAATCCGCAGAATCTGCGGCCCCACCTGTCCAGCACCAGGGCCAGCAACAAGCCAGCTGGTAGTTCCGTGGCACAGGCGAGGGAAAAGGACACGAACACTGAACTCGGGATGAGCTTCAGCGAATAAACGTGGCCGTCGAACGATATCACGGTGAAGCACCTGCAAGATGATACCAGTCATTCGTCGAGCTTCGCTCGTACTCGTTTCCTTATACTTTCCAGAACAGAGCCAGAAGTATGGTGTTCCGTGCCAGGCGGGGTGTTCTGAACAGGTCGAATACCGTCGCTGTTTCCCGTTGTTTCGACGAGGTTTCTATATTCCCCTACAACAGAGCGCGACGGTAGCGATTAAAAAAGTATTCTAGTCTGTGAAAGGGATAGACGGGAACTATTTTCAATAGTAGGTATCGGTTCAAAAATGCGTCATGTCCTCTGTAACTGATAAATATTAGCTTGTTCCGAAAGTATCTTTCGTTTTATTAATAATTAATATATTCACAATATGTTATGTTTTATGTTACATTACTGAATTGTGTACGATTCGTTTCGCTTCATTACTGTTACAGCATCGATGTCTAAGAAATTAGATTGTCTATTTATATAAACACTGCCACAGAAAATAATTGAATCCGACTCACGAAAGAAACTTTTTGCACAACCTAATATTTCAGGAAAAAAGGCAGTTTATTAAGGGGGCCAAGAAACGATGGTAAAACTACTCACGAGGAAGACGTCATAAATACGTGGATCTGGATTCATCCGATTGATCTTGGCTATCCTTCGCAGTTTCTGAACAACCTTCTCCATTTTTCCATTGGAAACATACCACCTTGCATAGGTTCAAAATGACGCAACGTTGTAAACGGCGAAAATTCGAGGGATTCGTATTGAACAGTCGCTTACCGGGCGCTCTCGGGAAGTATCCATGGCGTGATGAAGACAGACAAAAACGGTAGAGCGCTGACGTAAGTGAACAATCTCCAATTAGAAATATAGTAAGCCAGCCAAGGTAGAATGGTGCTGGCCACGGCGAAATATAAGCCGAATGCGACATTGACGACCAAGGTGCGTTTCGATACGGCCATGTACTCGAGCACTGGAACATAATTAACGTCAAATGATTTCTAAACAAATTTTTCTCCGAGACGAACGACTCTTTGGTATTTGGTGGGAAAGGATTAACGTTAGAAATAAGTTGCAGAGATATAAAAAAAAATATATATATATGGCGAGGACTTAAGTTCGTATCGTAAATTATTTGACTTTCAAGCTCACCAACTATCAACGGAATGTTTATACAGTTGTCGAAGGCCAATCCAGTGATAAACCTGCACACAGCGAAAGACCAGAAGCTATTCGAGTTCGCCGTTGCGATAGAGCCAACAAGGGCAATGCCGTTGCAGACCATTAACGCAGGGATACGTCCTTTGTGGTCTGCAATCCATCCGATAAGGAAACCACCGATAATTGAACCGCAGAAGAAGATGGCCTGCGCCGTTGACATGAGGTATTCTCGGTCGCATACCCAATCTAGCTAATCACGAAGGGTTACGGATCAGTCCAGAATTTTTCGGTCACATTTCGTCCGTAATAATTAATGATTAACACCGATTCTTTACTTGTATCGTATTAACTTATAGTAAACATAGCTCGTGCAAACAGATTCGATAGATGTCGTCGATCTTAGCCTACCTTGTATGTATCTACAGCAAATTCGTTATCGTTTCTTCCATCTTTCATATCTCTAACTACAGTTTTTTAATACTCTAAACGTTCTAAGTAAGCAATCATGTAACGATAATGATACTTGAAAGATACTTCACCTCAGTACCCACAGTAGCGTACGGGATTTGCGTGAAATTATATTCCCAGGCGGTGCATCCTACGGTTCTGTTCCTCTTGTACTCCAAAGAACGTAGATCCGTGCCAGTCTGCAGAAGTTCAGCAAAATTCAGGTCCTTGCGATGACACCGATCGTAATAAGGATATTCGCTCGATGGTGGAATCGCTATTTGAATCCTGAACACCGTACGATGAAATATCATTAACAGAAGATAGTTTTACTATTCCTCGAGCGTTTCGCAATTCTTGCTTTTCGATTTACCTTTCCTCCTGGGTAAAATTCGAGGTCATCAGTTCGTCTATCCTGCACCAGTGTTCCGGGGGTATTATGGTTATAAAAAGTTGCGAAAAATAAAGAAACGCGTACGTCGTACCGTAAGGCAGTAGTGATAACAAAAGCAACCATTGGTATCTGCCATAATCACCGACGTATGGCAGAACGTCGTCGAACGTTTCCAATTTTGGTCTCAACGCCGTTCTTTCGGTCGGTCCTATCGAATGGTTCAAATTATTCGCGGTCTTCATTTCTCTGCAACAAACAAAACGCATTTCCCTGTGAGTATCTAACAACGAGTCACGGGAATGGATTTAATTCTGTTCGGATTAAGACCGGTCGAGATAACGATGGTCCTCGGATGTTAAAATCTAATCTTCGCAACGTGTATCGTTTAAGCAGTCATCGAGACCGCCTTTCTCGTCGATTCGTCTGTGAAAGAATTTCGTTGGTCACAGATCCGTGCTCCCAACCATAAATATCAATAAGAACAGTGACAACGATGGGATCACCGAGCAAAGTCCAATCGAACCTTCTACTTGCTTCGTTTTCGATCTCTCGTACGACGAATTAAATGTAAGCGTTTGTTCTAATGCCATCCAATTAATTTACAAGGATCAAGTGATTCGTGACACGCGACTCGTTGGAATTCAATTGTAAACGAGACACGCTGGTCCGTCGCGTCTGGACGAGAAATTGCTGTGTCTGCGTTGTTATGTATACGTATGTATGTCGATACAGCGTCGAGAGAATATGCTTGGAGGAATTGGCACTTTCGCGAATTGATTACAATATTAATATCCGTTTCTCATTTCAGGCAAGATATCTCGTCGCGTGTAGACCAAACATTGTGCTCGGTTCCGTTTAGTTAGAGTATAAATAAAAAAAGTTGGCAACGTGGTCGGAAAACTATCTCGGAACTCTACTCCGTCTTTCAACGTAACTCTAGAGTACAAAATCAATTACAGAACCTTCTATATTATTTGCATTTCTAACAATTTTTCTACATTTTTTTTTTTTTTTATCTCGGCACTTTATTTTTTCCAGTATCGATGTTCTCCCTCTGATATCTCGAATAATAACCGGAAAAGTAAATTGTACGAACCACTTTAAAAGATACACCAATGACCTTAAAAAGAGAAACGCTTTTCCGTTATCGCTCTTACGTCTTTGAACGCGGTAAAAATATTCAAATGTATACGATACCGACACGTCTAATACGGATTAAAATTCGCGCTGACATTATAGACAGCATAAATTCCATTTTCGGAAACAAACAAAAAAGTGGTTCGTCGTTCTCTCGAAAATCGAGAACACCAAATCCTTCGGGATGATGATTTCCACAGTATTAGGGGGACCAGAAAGTAATGTCGTTTCTTTTATATTAAATTCAAATAAATAAATTTATAACAAGTTTTTGTTTTCAATCAATTACGTAACCGTCCTCGATAACGACAATCTTTTGCTATCTAGTGTGCAAATTTCCAATACCTGATCGATAAAATTCGATTGATATACGATGAACTGATAAATGATAAACAAGACGTTGACATTCGCAGAAAAGACATTACTTTCTGGTCCACCTAATATTTCGCGAATCGGCGACCAATGTATGGTTAATTGGACAACTCCGTATCTCTTTGCGCCGTTCTTAGTACAATTAAATTCCATTTATGTAACGAGCAACGAAAAACCTTTACAGGGAACAATCGAATCACCTTCCCCACGAACTGCTGACGGCAGTCGTATCGAAAGGTGCGTCCCACCCCTTGAGATGGTCGTTAATTAGCATTAATTAACGACTCGACGACGAAACCCTCTAGCAATTATCGTACACCCTACTCACGTCGATTCACTCTGTGTGTCCCTTATCATGTTCGAGGATTCTCCTGCCACTGAACCATGAGCACCTCCTTTCGCCAACGTCGGTGTCGGCCGCGAGATTCCTCCAGCAGTAATGAAGAACGGACTAATTAAACGGACGATTAACGCGAACTGAAAGGAAGAGGAACGCGTCCGACGGTTACGAGGTCTAGCACGAATATGAAGGGGAGACCGGATCGTGTAACGCTGATATAGAAGCTTGCTTGATAGAGACGAACGCGACACTCGCCGCCACGTGTTTGCCAATACAGAACCAGCGAAGAAAGAGAGAATAGAACAGAAACAGAACAAGAAGACGAATCCTCTAGCATACTAACCAGTAATTTCGCACGCTTCTCGTATCGCGACTGTTAAGGTTCACGTTCCAATAGCATCATTCGAGCAAATTCATTTTCTATTGATAGAAACGTTTCGTTTGATAGGAGAAGTGGGACTTGGAACTCCCGCTCCGTACGATTACTGGCGCCTCGATTCGTTATGAATTTACGTATCTAGTCAGACATTTAAAGGAATACTACCATGAAAAACAGAATCGAAAATTGTACATCTGCCAACAGCGTTTCGACTAGCTTCTTCGTGACAATTAAGGCCACCCTGTTTAGAAATCTTCGATTGTTTCGGTGAATTACGTAGACTCGGGCATTGAAATCACCCGATGAATTTAGAGATTGGCCAGCACTTTTAGATAAGGAGATTCCTCGCTCCGATTTTTCATCCGAGAAGAATACATCGTCGAGATAATCCCTTTCCCAATTCTGGCTAAAATGGCAATTAAACGCTCGACTCGCTTCATTCAACGTTGCAGGAAACTGTGCCGGTTTTGAATTTAGCCTCTGTCACGATGCTCGTTTGGAGCGATAAAAGTTTAACGGTCACCGGCATTGATAATAATAAATGACATGGTACGTATCCGTTATCGAGTCTAGTATTATTTCAACGATCTGGCATCTCTTCGGATACGTGTTGCGCGCGTCTGACATTGACGCGAGTGGATATACGATTACGTTGTTCCGTGTCTATAAATAATTTTGCAACAAGACACAATTAATGACCTTTCTAGCGACTTCCGGCGACGCGTGCGTTACACTCCAAGGTTATCCGTAAGAAGAAATTTTTGGGGAAATTAATCGCAAGCTGGAGATGGACTCTGGATAATAAATCAAGGATTATCAATCGTGTCATGTGCGTTAGCTTGGAACGATTATTATTGTGGCTATCTCTGACAATAATCACAATAGAGACAGTATACAGTATTGTACCTTCCAGTTCGCAAGATTAACAAAAAAATTATACCTAACTAGGATGTTCCATTTCGCATGGCCCCACGACTGGTTCCCAACGTACTAGACAGATATCCTGCGCGACGTCGATTCAAAACAAAGTTCGAAGAAAGCCCCTAAACGTGGAACCGAGAATCAAAATCTGAATATCCACGTCTACGTGCCTCTTCGTGATTTTAACGACGTGCGTGTCCGGAAATAATGAGCTAATCGTCTCGTAACGTGCAAACAATAAGTTATCACACTGAAAACATACATCACTGTATTTTGATCGAGTCACGTTAATATTAATTCGTAAGTGATAACGATAAACGTAGCGAATTCACGTTACATTAGAGGTACCCGGGTCTATTTTTAGAGACGCGTAAAGATTTTTAAGCACTTTCCATCCAGACGGGATTAACCTCTCGTCTTAAGTAACAGAAACAGAACAGTTAATTTATTATGTACTTATGTATATCGGATAGCACGGGATCGGACTTGAAGATAATCCTCATTTCTATGTTCGGTAGGAAACGGGCATGTGGAAAATTTGTCGTACCAAGCCGATGTTCTTCGACGTTTTTATTAGAAAATACCGGCGATTGGCTTACAGTAAAAATAAAAATACGCGCCGCTCGTTCGCGTTCGTGACATTCGCGTGCATGCTCGCGGCACGAGCGACTTCTAATACGTCGACCTAGAAATTTTTACACGTATATGTACAGGATACAAGCTCGCGCGTCGACAAGCGCTGGCCAAGTTATTTCAACCTCGATCCGCTCCGCGTCTGCTCGAAACGAGTTACAAATTTGCAGTTTTATCGTCACCGACATGACACAGCTGACGGAAAAGTTTTCATCTACGCGGAAAGTTCATCGTCGCTGGGAGCTATTGGAAGGAGGAGAGAAATCTTAACGACGCTGAGGCTAAACGTTTACTTCTACAACGCGGAAGCAGAGCCTAATTAGATCAGGTTGTCGAAATTGTACCGTTAGACTCTAACAACGTGGATTTTAGAAAGACACGGGCAGCTGCTACGTTTGCTTTCAATTATAATCTCTCCACTTCCGTGACGGAATTGTTGCTCTTTCTCGACCTCACGCTCGATTTTCGTATCATGCTGCTCCTCAGCGTTTCGCCACGAAGAGAAGCCCTCATCGAATTCCTCACGCTACCCCGAGAGAAGGACTTGAACTTTGCCGATGACGTTTCCACGTCCACGTTTTTCCTGCAAAACATTGGAATATTTCAATTCATTTTCCATTGAAATTTCTAAAGCAAAGTAACCGGTTCGGTTAGGATTATCAAGAATATTCCGAGATTACATCAGATCTAAACCGATCTGAAGCAAACTGTATCTTTACTTACCTGCTGATACAAGGGAAGTCCCACATTTTCTGATCTCTACCAAAGTTTTCGCCGTCCTGCAGCGTTTGCGGAAGATCCTTGTCCAGCGTTTCTGGTAAAAACAAAGTGATAAGGCCGCCAGCGATTCCAATGACGCCCAACACCAGAAGAGGGAGAATCGACGAGACCACGTCAAGGTACACCACGAAAGGTGCCAAAATGCTCGCTACGTATCCCATTATGTGTATCAAAGCTACACCCTGAGCTCTGACGACGGTAGGTAACACCTCAGCCGCGTACTGGAGACCGATATTGTACGATATATTTATCCAAAATCGACCCAGAATGGCCAGAGTGGCTGAATAGATGTCTGGAAGGGAAGTTTCGATAAGAATCTTCATCTTACTCTGAATGTTCGTTTCCTGTCATTATTATTAAAGTCTCGTGTACGTCAATAGATACTCTACTTAGTAACAAAAAGTGTTATTGATATCGTCCTTTGAAAACGATTACCTTGTACGCGGTCTGTCTAAAAAGAAACCGAAGTGATTATTTTGAGTAAATAAACGTGTCTGTAAAAACTTTACTTGTACTTTTTTCTGTCTATAACAAAAGTTCGGTTTGTTTTTAGACAGACCGTGTATTTGTAATAAATTAGAGTACACGTAAAAAAACGAAACATGTGAATAATGAATCGGCAATACTAACTGCTTGAAACGGCGGAAGCCCAAATACTGAAAATCCCGGAAATGACCAGCGAGCCACAGGCCAGCCATCTTCTACCCCATCTGTCGAGAACAACTGTGAGAAACGTATCGGCGGGCAACTCGGTCGCCGCGGCGATAGTGAACGTGACGAAGACGTTTAAGCCCAAGTTATCGACGTTCCTCACATGACCGTCGAACACCAGAGAGATCGCCATCCTACGGTACGAAACGAATACTGATAACGATGAAAGATTATAGAATAATAAACGAGAAGGAAATTTTTTCCTCTAATAGCTGATACCGACAATATCTCGTACATTGTATTTTCTCTTTCGAAACAGAAGTCGTTCCTAGCTATCTATGAGTCATAAAACAATAAGTAGGTGAATTAACAAAGCTGTTAGACGGTTTTCGCTAAAATACATGATACTTGAATCCAGTAAAATCTGTTCAGTAAATTCTACAAGAATTATTTTTATCGTTTTCGCAATCCGATTCATTATGCAATGGTAATTAATTAAGTTTCTCGATACTTATCTCACCAGAATACCTACCATATAACGATAAACAGAATGGTGATGTTCCTCAATCGCGGAGTCTTAAATAAATCCAGCACCGAGTATGTTCTGTCCGCTTCCTCCTCTTTGCAGATTTTAGCACAGGTTTCCTGTCATATAAAGACATTTATTATTATTACGATCGTCTCAGACTAATATTTTCTCGGTCCATACCCGAAATCGTTTGTAGACATCCTCGGGCACCTTCGTGCCGTTTACTCGCTCGAATTTGTTGAGGATACCGATGGCTCTGTCTATTTGACCTTGACTTACGAGCCAACGAGCGCTTTCCGGTACCAACCACGGCGTCGCCAATGCCAGAACAAGAGGAGCCGACGTCGCGATGCAGGTCATTCTCCAATCAGCCAAAAAGTAGGCGATCCAGGGTAAAACACAGGCTGCGAACGTGAAGAACATAGCTATCGACATGTTCGCCACGAACGTCCGCCATTTTGGTCCAACGTATTCCAGTACTGAAATAGGAAGGGTCGAATAATTAAACGAAAATAATTCTTCGATCAAAAATGCCGAAAAAAATGCATGGTTCGAGGTAAATGAAAGCGATGAACGCATAATGTATTCAACTTGTACAGTTCCAGGGGATTCGGAATTAATGACGAGTCCCAAATCAAGCGAGTAACGTTACCGCTTCGTTAAGAACAATCATTCCTTATTTCGAGGGATGTATATATAGTCGCCATTCAATGGCAAGAAATGTACTCGCGTTTTTTATTTCATCTGTTATTATACAATGAAATTCCACGTTTCCAATTTATTAAACCTTAGTCACGAGGCGGTGGATTAACAGGCTACGCCTACCAACACGTGCTACTTGTGGCACGTGAAAGTCACGCAAACGTAAGATTAATTGATCAAGGCAATTGCCGATTGTTCTGATCTCGGAATGCGTTGTCCTCCGGATCGATACCTTCCGAAGAAGGTAACGCGTCCAGGAACTGCTAAAAGGATACCCGAGGACGGTAGGAAGATAAAGTAGGAAGATAAAGCAATATCTTAAAAGATCCAATACGGCCTGCTGAAATATTGCGTGTTTCCGATGATATTTAATATTGTTGTTTTGAAATGACAATGTTACCAGTGTGAGATCGTTTACGCTCCGGCAAACAATTCCATTTAAATGTAAATTTTCTTAAGGCGCGCGAAGTTCAACGATGTACTACAATTCACACGGTTCGGCTTACGTAAAGACAACTCAATGACTTAAATTGCTACGACTTGGTTTCTCTGCAATCGAGTTTCAAAATTACGCAGAGACGTAATAAACGTCACTTTCTAACGTTGTTTTTCTCGAAAACAACGACCGAAACATTATCCTCTTGTTTCTTTGAAGGAATGGTAAATACTTCCTGGTACAAGAATCGGTCGAAACACAAACGCAAAGTGCCAGCAGGGAACTACTAATTTTAAACGAATATAGAAAACTCTTTTCGGATTGGTTAATTATATCCCGTGTATGTATCAAGGCTTACTGCCTGGATCGTGACGAAGTTATGCCTTCGAATGGAGTATTCACTTATCTCGAAGGTATTTCATCGATCAAAGAAAATATTCAATTACACGTCGTCGTCTATCAAACGAAGCTATTTTTAATTGGTCGTTTGTTTAATCGAGGACTAAAGCACGCGAAAGAAAGACAAGTTATGCCATATTAATGATATCTCGTCTATGAAACACAAAACGATCAATCGATCACCGTTCGCGCGTTGAACGCAAGGACGTTTCGAAACGGATTTCTATTAAATTTCTACCGACACGAAACTTGTGATGTTGCCGCTTATTTTCACTCATATTACCATCCATTCATCCACTTATCGCATTCAAATGCAAACGCACCGGCATTACTGGAAACGCGAGATTTTAACGCGAGCCGATTGATTCATTGTGCAGAGATGCAATGAATTACGCGCAGAAGAAAGGACAGTTAATAACGAGCTGTCGATTCACGGAGAACGAGACCATTAGCGCATCGAATATTGTCGGGGTCGTAAGCTTGATTAAACCGGATGTAATTTCTAAAGGACGAAACGTTTGCGAAGCTTTCGATGTGATATTCCTTTTCTGGTTTGGTGCTTTCAACCACTACGTGCTTTACATCGCAACATTTACTTCCCTGTGCAAAATAAAAACTGAAGTCATTCATGGTCCTCCGAGCATAAAGTTTTTTAAAATGTTCTCTTTTTAAAAATAGTAATATAACGGTAGAACTCTAAGAATTCGACGTAAAATTTCGTAGTTCGTAGCGTTTCGAACCAGGATCTCGGTGATCATTTTTCAGCTGCGAAATGACACTGTCGCGCGCGCGCGTTAACCGTGACTGAATGACTCAAGTCGGGCCTAGAAAAATTTACGACATTTGCGGGATCGCGACTCGTTTCCATCGAAAACTAGGCCAAGTTGACGAGAATCGACACTGGTTTTCAGCGATTTGCAATTAATCGTTCCGGACGAACGGCAAAGAAGATTGATCGACGCGGTCGTCGACGTATGTTAATTGCAAGCTTGAGATAATGAGTTGCTAATTTTGCAGCAACGTATCGCGAATTTCGTCTGCCAGCGAAACTGGTATTAAACGTCTGATCATGCAGGATCGTTTAATCTAGATCAGCCATGTCGAACACGTGGCTCGATCCATTACATTCTGCGGTTTGCTTGACCTCTTTATTATCTCTTCAGTTTCATTTTTGTAGCATGCAAAGTTCTCTCACTTGCGTAACACGTAATACCTTTTCTTTCAGTTCGGAACTAACCTCGACTTAGAATTTAATAACGACGTTCAAGATGCGCGAATGCAGGAGTAAGATGAAAGCAAAAAATTGATTACCTAATATGTACATCATAGTGAAGCAATTGTCGAAAGCGAATCCAACGAAGAATCGGCACAGTGTGAACTGCCAAAAGGAGTAAGTGAACGCAGTGCCGACTCCCGCCAAGAAACCCATTAAATTCGCTCCGATCAGAGCTGGTATTCTGCCATACTGATCGGCTATCCAGCCGAAAATCAGTCCTCCAAAGATGGCACCGATGAAGAAGATACTCTGCGCGGTGGTTGGTAAAGCACTGTAATCGCACACCCATCCTAACTGCAACAAAGAAGTATGATAGCGCCATCGATGAAGAAATAAAGGAGAAAATGGTTAAAGGAAGTTTCACCTCGGTGGCTACGGTTGCGTAAGGGACGCTGGTGTAATTAAACTCCCAACCGTACTGGCAAGCTTTTGTTGGCCACGACGGGTCCGGCACGTAATTTCCATTTATCAGGATCTCGGTGTAATTTACATGGTACATGCTGCATCTCGAGTAACCTTCGCGACCGATCGGTATCGCCAACGAACGTCTGAAAGAAAGAAAAAGGGATCGCAGTAGTTCAGGGACTTCGCCAACCATCACGCGTTCGCTCAACTCTACGACTCGACTAATTCTCGTTGTTTATTTCTTTGAAAGATTAAATAAACTGTTGCTAATTTCGAATGCAGTTTATAAACACGTTAATGGTTCGTCGACTATTTTGAAAATACACAATAGGCCGGATGCGGTTGTACGAGCACTGAATGTGATTATGCGAAGGAACGGCTAGACTAATTCGTAATAATCTCCAACTGTTCGAATGGAATTCATTAACAATAGGGCGTAATTAAGGTAATTCGCTGATAATGATTCTTGTCCGGTTCTGGTGTTTGTCGTTTCAATGAAATATGAAATTGCCGTTGCTATGATCGACGCTGTCTGGACAAGACCGTCCGTGACCACTCGCACGATATCGTGGAACCATGTTCTACTGAAGAGTCCGGAGGGATCGATCCTTTCGTCGTAACGACAATGTAAACAGAAAACGATCGGTTTTTATCTCGATATTTTCTTAGAAAAAATTCTGAACAAAATCAAACTTATCTTATACCTTCGCGATTAATCACGCGCATTGTCTGACCTTTGCGTGCGAAGCGATCGGACGACGACATGTTACTCGACGCCGATTGCATTATGCGCACGTACGGTGCATTTTTCATTCTGAATTCACCGTCATAAACCTCGCGTTTCACGGAATACTGCCTATGAAAAGCGACGAAAGGAAAGTAGGAAAAATAGTTCTTCCGCTGAATCTGACACGAGGAAAATTTTACTCGGGTAATAAATGACGAATAAAAGGATCGTGTAAGGACATTATCGGGAATGAGGACTACTGTTAAGTCGCGAAAGGTACCTCTACACGCTCTAACGTTCACGTTTGTCATTCCCTCGCGTCCAATTAACGCGCGACGTTGGGCCAGCGTTACGTGTTTAATGCTATTTCTCGCATTCACGCTCTCATTAATTCTTACGAAGGCTCCGTGCTTATCGTTGCATATTTTCTAGTGAATGGTCGTATCGGAGACGACCATATCTCCACGGAAAAAAACGTCGCACAGCGCTCGATGTACGCACGCGTTCCCCTTGTGCGATCATTTAATTACTTTGTAACATAACACCCCGCGGCTGCAAAGACATCCGCCGTTTCTTTGCGCATCTTTTGTGTAATTAAGCGTTTACTCTAACGCGCTGATCATATTTCTCCTTGCTTTGCCTCTTATTATATCAAAAAGTCCTCGTAAATGAGTGTATCATTATCGTTTGAAATCCTGCTAAGACCGTTTCGCGACCACGATTCAATTAGCAAACGACACGTAATAGCAGTTATCCACCTTGTTTGTCGAAGAATTAACAATTCACTGAATGTTTTCAGAGGTCTCGTTAACATCTTCGGACCTATTCTACAAAACAGCTCTGTAACTTATCGCCTTAGGCTACGGTTACTATGAATGCGAATTCGGACGAAAACGTGTTCGGACGAGTTCTGACGAATTCGTTCAAATAAACAAACGTCTGTTTTTCAATGATAGTGTTTACACTAGTAACGACCCACGCGTCAGAACATTCACGATGTCGTTATTTGGTCTTAGTGAAATTTTAACAGCGCAGCGTCGATTTGTGCGTATTACGCAACTTTGAGAAAAACAAAAGCAGAACAACTGGAGCACCCGGTGAGCCTAAGAGGCGCGAGTTTCGTTCGGACTTTTACGGACTGCTAACGGCTGTAGTGTTGCATTATTTGAATAACATCAAGGTTGTTAACCCGCCGTGCAGCTTACGAGTACGTAACCGGGCGAGAAGGTGCAATAGAGTTGCTCCTTCGAACGTTTCGTCATCGCGTTTCCACGCTTTCCGGAGACAGTTACGCTGACGGTTGTCATCGGAGCAATTTTAGTATTTACAAGTAACTCTTGCGACAGGTGTGTTCATAGCGTAAGAAATAGCTGGTCAGCGTTCGTGAGCGACACACGAGCATCGTCACTCTTTTGTTTAAAAACATTTAAGAGAGTTTCGCGTCATCGACAACCGACGACGAACAGACAGTCGCTCGGCAGATCGAGCGGGAGTCGGTCGTAATAAAAATCACATTAACTGGAATTTATGTTGATACCTATCCCACAAACACGCCTCACAATAGCAACAACATTGCGGCGCAAAGTGAACAAAAGGTATTATAGTATTTTTCTATCGAGAACGCGATCTGAGAATTTTATGCTGTAATATACTATGCTGATATATCGATTCTATGTATGTCAGAAACAGACGAAAGCGGTTCACTTATGGCAACCTGCTCCTATTAATCTGATGCGTCGTAATTTATTCGCCTTGAATTGCAAAATAGAATGCTGGTAATGATAATTGAACCCGTTTTCTTCTGTATGCATGAATGCGGCGCAACAAACCTATACGTAGAAAATGCAATACGATTGCATCTTTCATCAGTATCTCGATGATAATTACTTCGTTCGTGTTTTTTTTTTTTCCACGCGACGAGTCGTTGGACGCTCGTCTAGACTACTAAAAACTTCCATTTTACGTACGGGATAAGCAAATACCGTAATAAACGTCAATGAATCGCCGTTTCCCGCGCGACTCGTGGAATCGAGGCGACCTAGGGCCTTACCTCTTTCAGGTAATTATTGTTTGAATACAATAGAAATGTTACGATAGGATCAACGTGTTGCACGTCGAAAAGAATAATTGCAACATCGTATCTTCTTCCATGGATAGGCTTTACTAACGTCGAAGCTCATTCGCACGAATAAAATGCAATCCTCGCTGTCTGTTTGTTACCCTATCACAAAAGATGCACAGTAATGCAAGGGCAGCTAAGCTTGACTTTAGCCCTGTCAACGTAATTATTAACAGTTTGATAAATCCATTTTACCTATATTTAATACAACATGTACTTTAACTTTATCGATTATTGGTAACAGTGGAATTCTTATTTTAGACATGACACCGCAATAAAATCGAAGCAAATAACAGCGACGTTCGCGACAATCATGAAAAGTTCAACGGTGAAATCAAATATAAAATTACATTGTATTAATTTAGCATCCGAGTCTTAAAAAAACCGTCATCGCTCCCTTCCCGTGACACTCTGTATCAATTGACGAAGCAGGATCCTCACATGTACGTGTCTTTATTCATCGTGACGGGCAGAAACCTGAACCTCTAATCTAAACTAAAATGTAATGATTACTTATATGGAGAAAAAGTGATAACCCTTCGTAACAAGTGCAATAGAAAAGTGACGTTTCTAATCCCATTCTTATCGTTAGAAAGCAATCAGTCATTTTTTTTTTTTTTTTTTTTGTAGTAAACATAGTGCTTGAATTGTGGAGAATGGAAAGTGGATCACACACCTTTGGTCGACGGTGAGATTCTCAAGTTCTGGAACCCAGCACCAATATTCGTCGGGCACGAGGGTGATGAATATTTGCGAGAAATACACCCAGGCGACGAACGAGGCGAAAGGGATCATCAGGAGGAATAGAATCTTTTGGTAGAGACCGAACTCCCCGACGTAGGGCAACAGCTCGTCGAAGTCCATGTCCCTCGATTCGTCTTTTTCCTTCATGTTCCGACTATTCGAATGTGTTTCCGTGGTCGAGGAGGTTTGGCAATCTGTCACAGTGCTGACGCGATTACCGTCCACTCGAGCAGTCGTTTCAAATTTTTCTTGCGGAGCCATCTTCCTTCAGAGTCGAGGGGCAACAGCCCTCTTACGCAAACACCACCAGCACCAAAAGATAATTCACCGATTGCTTTCTCGATATCGTTGAAATCTGTTCGAGTGGTCCAAGAACTCGACCACTATTTCTCCATTGAAATCGACGTGTCCTCGCGCAGATCACGCATCGCCGAGTGCGTCGTGCCGATTTCGTTTCAGCAAACAAACTCAGACAAACTCGGATTACTGTATTTGCTACGATGATAACAGCCTCGAGCGTTATCGGAAACGTGATCCTCTTTTATAGATCCGTAAAAAGTAGACGGACGATTGCGATTCTGACGTTTGCGGTCCACATCGCGAGAACTCGTCGACGAAACGCTGGAACTCTTTGACGGTTCAGGCTAGTCCCACGTGGCCAGGTGATATATAATGAAAGAGGCCGGGCAAATCCTGATCGAGGAGTTCAGAACTGAAAATGATCGGTTCTGTAGCTGGCTATATAACCATCGACGGAGAGGTACTCCCTCTCTTTTCCGCAGCGGGCTGATTTCAGTGCACCGCGAATGGCATTGAACGGAGTTTGCGGGATCGCGTAAATCATCGTCGTGACTGGTAGCCGAATAATTTTTTTTTTTTTCACGATCTTTCGGGAGACGATCGCATCTTTTTCATTAGAAATACTGCGCGTCTCGTTGCAACGAAACGAGACGGTGAACGAATAAAAAAGAAACTGCACGTCCACGGATAGGCTGTCGGTTGCGTCTCATGGTAAACGACAGCGCAGGATTGATATAAATAGCATGAAGGGAATCGATAATGTTTACTCGGCGTTACCTTACCTAACTAAAAAATAAATGACTTTTTTAACATCGCTAATTTAATTCTTTTCAACGAGGGGGATAAACTGAAATTTTCGATAAGTAATCATTTTTTGCCACCAAAATCACAACTCTCTGTTGTTTCGTTATTAATCCTGATTATTTATTCTACATTTAATTTCTTCTTAATCGTGACACAAATGCTTAGCGCGACAGAAACGTTCATGATTGCAGTGATTATGGATTGCATACTAGACGTATAGATACGTAATAAGGATAATCCATTGAACCTTCTACGCAGAACCTGTTTCAAAAGGCGCGGAATACTGTCCGCGACCTGGTTTCTTCTTTTTTAATCCTATCGCACCCCTTTCACTATCTACGCTACGCAAATTGGTACCTTATAGACCAAGCATTGCATACATATTACGCTTTACTCGAATGCCAATTATATAATTGGCCTCAATAACCTTAATAGAAGGAAATATACTGTAAACATTGTATACTGTAAACGTATTCACACGTGCATGTATCGTTTTAGACTACTACGTTATATAATATAAATTAAATAAGAAGATTTGAATGTTGCTTATTCGAATGAATGTTGTAAGACACGAATAGCATACTTTTAACATGGATATTACTCTTAATGTTCGCATAACTGATTCAAATTTCGCGCGCATTTCGACGCATCAGCGAAGCCATCTAGCGGTAGATAGGCCGAACTATTTTAAGAAGTTTGGTCAGCGCTTCTATCGAGAAAACGCTCAAGTTTGTCCTCGATTAGTTCCTTTTGTACTGGTAGATGGCGCCATTTGCACTATTTTTTACCGACATAGTCGGTATTTTACCATCGTGTCAGTAAAAAAAAGTAGTGTTAATGCCGCCATCTAGCAGTAAAAGAAGGAACTATCGAGGACAAACTTGAGCGTTTTCCCGATAGAGGCGCTGGCCAAATTCCGAAAAATAGTTCGGCCTATCTACCGCTAGATGGCTTCGCTGATGCATCGAAATGCGCGCGAAATTTGAATCAGTTATGCGAACATGAACACTTGATAAAATAAACTGAAGACTATGTAGAACTCTTTTAACATACCAACATTTGCAATAATAATGAAGTTAAAAATAAACGAAACAGAAATAACACTTGTTGTAATACCACTTAAAGAATTAACACTTAACTTTTTCATATGTCATTTATTTTGAATAACTTTTATTCTGACATTGCAACAATAAATTGATACATTTAACATTGTATTACATTCCTATAGTAACATATACAATTTATATTCTTATAATTTACGAAAGTATATAAAATTATTGTTTCTCAATGTACATGTTTAATAACTATGTAAAGGTACGCATCTACTCGTTCGTATAGAGTAGAAATGTGAGAAATAAGTTTTGTAGTCGGTAAGACTACATAATAAAAATACATGCATTCTTTTTATCCAGATTCCGTGCTTAGCATACACATGTATTTATACTACAATTGTAACAGTAATTTCATTTAATTAGAATACGATTTTCTCTTAGAAACTGTCTGAACGTCTATATTGTCCATAACATATACAAATAACATTACATGCATTTCCATTTGTATAACATAAAATTTTTAAGTATCTCAAATACTCAGATAAAAAATTCGACTAAATCAGTTCATTTAAAATGAAAATAATAAATGAGACGAAAAAGTGTTTGTAAGTAATTTCTATTAATTATTTCGAATCATTGTCAGTAATGGCAGTGCAGTAAAAACTTCTTAACGATGATTGTGTTACTGGGAAATGCTAAACAATCCAAAAATAAATTTGTTCGATCATCCACTTATTTTGATACATAAACATTAGAATTCTTTTGGTAACATCAAAATATAATGACATCAGTAATTTAAAGAAATTATTACGAAACCCCAAACACAGTTTTTATATAAAATATGTACAATAAAATCTTAATCGGCCGGATAATTATTGATTACTCTCAACAATAATATATGTATGAAACAAAGTGTATTTATTATGATCAAAAATGTTCAAAATAAATAACACCACGGTCAAATAATTGTTTAAAGAATTTACACAAAGGTCAATATCATAATGTTTGTTAGATATATTAGCTGCATGTATTCGAAGCACTTTAATTTCCGATGGTTAAATTTCAATAACATGTAAAGGAGTTTTAATACAACTTAGAGTATTATACTGGGTCTCCATATAGAAAAGATTATGTAAACACAATGCAGGAACGTGTTTCACAATTATAATTCGATACAGTAATTACATGAAGCTTATCAATTCATTCTTTGTATTTGAATGTCGGAAGTTCAGTGATGATATTATGATCTAATAGCTATTTACAATTCCAATATTACGTAAGGCCCGCACAGTGCAGTAAATGACTTCCACGGCAGTTTGTTTATATGTATAGCAAAGCTTTGATTCCAGTGAATGCTTGTAGCTCAAAATATATGTTTATATTTCATCTAAATGGCAGTTGTGAATTTTTAAGAATGATCGGTTAAATAAACATGTTTTGATATCTTCTTTAGATGATAATTTTATGTAATTTTCACGAAATCTGTGCGTTTTAACAGTCGACAAAAGTAATTAAATATTCAATTCTAATTGAATTTTTAAGTCTTTGGCTTAACTTCGCTAATTAGGCAGTGCATAGTTAATTCAATGACCTTTGATTGTTAACTTTGGTGTTTACATTACACAGTTTTTCATTTATTAATATTACGCCCAGAAAATCATCACATAAACACGATACTTACTGTTAATAATGAGATGAAAATTCTTAATCGCGTTAATGGTTTCTTTCAGTATAAAAATCAAGAACATTTATTAGATATCTTTGCTTTAAAAAGGCATCTATACTGTCTGTTTGTATAAGAACGAGTGAAAATAGTCTGCTTCCTTTTCTTCAAATTACAAATACACTTTGTGGAGATTATTATATCATGTTGAATAAACTGAATCAATTATTAATTTAAACTCTTAAAGTTACAAAATTACAGTGTATATGGTCAGTATCTACTGTAAGTTTTTTATGTAATACTACTGCACAATAGTGTATGCATTCAAACATACACATATAATATTACTGTGTTAATATTTTATATACAATAATAATATACAATAGTGTCACATAGTATTAGTAACAGTATATATTCCTTTAACTATTCTTACTTTTTAGAATTTGTCTACATTATTTTTATATTTGTTCATTATGCTTTTTCAATCCTGCCTTGATTTAATTTTTCATATAGCTTTCGAACTATTTGTAAAATTTGGTATTTCTCTATTCGTTACTAGAACTTACTTTGAAAATCTAACCAAAAATCGAAATTTATTATTCTAATACAACTTCATATATGTATACATGCGCAGAATTATTACATATTATTAATACATATTTTTTAAAAAGCTTGTTTAATATAAAAACTTATGAAAATGTACATAACTTCAAATAATTGTTTATGTATCAATCGTAGTTTTTAACATTTTCAAAAATTATTCAAATACGGTTATTATGCCTATACTTTATACTGATATATGTAGCACCCAGTAGAATTATTGTAACACGGGAATAAAATATTTTTACTTGATTCTTATTAGTTTACATTTTTTTAATTAAAACAGATTATATTGGCAATTGCCTGAAGATTTCAATAATTAACATTTTTGTTCTTTTATCATAATAAAATAATGGGGTAGAAAGTAGAAAAATCGTGAAGACATTTACCACTTCAAATGCTTAATATAATTAATGTGTTTTTTGTCATCTGAAGTACTATATACGCAATAGATCGTCGAAAAAAATACAAAATTCATCAATACGATAACGCACAATGAACAAACCTAACATTTCTTATTTACAATATTATTAATACCCATGAAATTAATACAAGGATAATAATATTCAATCAAAACAAACCTCTGCTACCGCTCCAGGAACTTAGTTCTGCTCAGTTATTGATATTTTGATTAGTCACAGTAAAATTTATACACCAACATTAATAGTAGTGTCAGAAGATTTGCCCATAAAAAGGATATTTTATATTTTATAAAATGCGGATATTACCTGATCATACTTAAACAAGAAAAAAGATGGATAAAATGAATCTTAAACTATGCAGTAGTGGCAAGCTCCTTGTGTAGAAAAGTTTCAATATCCACTCTACATATAGGACAGCGTTTATTAGTACACAACCACTGATCGACACAGTCTATGTGAAATAAATGCATACACGGAAGCCTCCTGCAAAACAAATTGAAAAGAATGCAACTCAATAGTATACGTAATAAAAATAAGTTTGATTTGTTCATAAATTGTTACCTGACACTTTCGCAATCTTCAAATTCAGACAAACATATAGTGCATTTCTCAATAGCATCGTCACCATTCTCGACTTTCTTAACCTGCAAAAATATGCAATAAATATTACAATAACAATGTAGATAACAGTCGGACAACACACGTTCTTCGTGTGCGACCCCTTCGCCAGAGAAAGGTTTAAGCTTTGTACCCGCAAAAATAAAAAAAAAAAAAAAATAAAAAAAAAAACAGTTATGTATATCGATGTATTTATAATCTAATTACCCGTTTGTACTTGTGAGGGAATGTATGACTTTCAATGGATTCCTGTGTTGCTCCGCAACTAATGTGAGCCATACGTCGCAAATCAACTAGACGCATATAATCTTCTAAGCGCAGTGGACGCGGTGAAGGTGAAAGCGGCATCAAAGGTGGCAATGGCATCATATCGTGCGTACCAGACTCTTGCTACATGTTATAAAAAAAGATACGTAACGCATCAAAAAATTTTATAACAGTTCAGTTAAAAATATCGTAAACAAAAACATACCATATGCGGATGAAAACTGATATGAACATGATGCATGCGTTGCGGTACTGGTGGTGGTCTTTGACGCGGGCGATAATGATGGTACATATGATGATGTACATATTGATGAACTGGCATCGAAGGTAACATTACTGGTGGTATTGGTTCCATTTCTACTAGTTCCTGAAAACGCTCAACATTCTAAAAATATTCAATTATAAATAATAATTTAGTGCTCCTAAGTTCAATATTAAAATGTAGTATCGTAGTCATTTTAAGATATCAAATTACCATTACAGGTTGTACAGGACAATTTGAACTGTAACTTGATGGACCTCTAGCTTCTGGGTGACTGTAGACAGTAGGTTGTTGTGGTGGTGGCAGAATTGGAGGAGGAGGATAATTTTCTGTGTATGTCATATTTTCCGAACCATTGCAAAGATTATTCGGAATATTAGCGTTTCCATTGTTACATGTATGCTGAGTTGCTTGATGCATATGTGGGCCACATGGTGTTGTGCTTCTAAATATTAAAGTCATTATATAATATAAACTATTCAACATTTATTTGTAAATACTGACGTGTAATGTCTTCTGTGCAATTCTTGTACACGCTGTTGGATAATCCATAATCTTTCTTGCACTGGATGCATTCGTGTTCTCGACATTCCCGTAGGAGCATCTATAAAGAATAAATTAAATATAATATTAAGTAGAATTTAATGATATTTCGCTACAATCCGAATAAAAGTTTTACCTGGCATTTGACCATATCCAACAGGTATAACTGGAATTGGAATTCTGTAATTGTGGTGCATACACCGACCATGATACATATAGTCTGGCGAACCATGCATGCAGAAAGAATTGTTCCCACTATAATGATTATTACAATTAACAAATTGTATGAAATATACATTAAATTTATGTACAATAAAATATTAATCAATTCTTACTTATGTACATTGTCCGTTGGCCATGGATTTGTTACTGTAGATGTTAAAACTGATGGAGTATGTTCTTCATCTGATTCCACAGTCAAATCAACTACAGTTACCGGACGATTACTTTCTTCTTTATTTTGTACAGAATTCTGCTAAATAAATGTATTACATTTTAAACAATTAACGAAAAATGTCTATAGGTCTCATTGTAACGTAAATGAATTTTTTTTACTTTATTATTATGATTTACTGTTCCAAGAACTTCAACAGACCCATCTTCATCATCACTACTAGAAACATCATCACTACTAGAGGACCAATCTAATTGTAGATCTGGTGCTGATGGTGTATCATCATGTCCTACTTAATGCAAACAAATACAAATTAGTCAGATATTTCACTTCTGACTTAATTGATATTAATGATATGAAAAAAAAAATTATACTTGTACGAGTAGAGTGTTGCTGAGAATTAATTGTATTTGGCAAAATTGGTTGGTATAAAGTATTGGATTCATTGGCACTATCATTTCCAATATTCTGCATAACTCTGTTTAAGAGATTACCATTGTTGGTTGCTGGTCTAGTTGTGCTAAAAATAAAAATAACATAAAGGAATGCAAAAATGTTGAACAGTTAATACTTCATACCTGTTAGAAACACTATCCGATAATCTTGATGGCCCAGCTATATTTAAACTATCAGATTGATGATCGCTTAATGATTTATGATCCTCGTGCTTTTTACTTTTATGTCTTACTGGTGGATCTCGTTCATGTAAAATTCTTTTACGATAATTTTCACAAGCTCTCTCTTCACATGTATTTCCTAACTGTCTATTGTGAGATTCCTGTTTTACACTTCGTTCTTGTCTATTTTGGCACATATTGCAACTTAAACGTTGAGGTTGCCAGTATTCATGAGAATCCCCTGTAGTTCCAGGTCCAGTTAAATAACTTCCAAAAACAAAATTATTATCTGAAGAAGAATGGTGTGGTGGATTTACATATGGATTGATAGGAGCTAGTTCAGATTCTTCTATGTCGCTTTCGGCAAATAAATGTTCATATTCCATTTCATTAGCTGCTATAAAGAATTATTGTTGTATATACATATAAAACTTTTGTTTAACAGCTTACTATAAAGTGATTACCTGAAGTAAATCTTGATTGTGGGGAAGGGTCAACTGTAGATGTAAATGCTGTATCAAATATATCTGCTAAAGATGTAGAATTAGCTTCCACAGACTGTGTTGTAGATTCTCCATGGTAGAGACTATTTTGCTCTTCTGCTTTTGTCTTGCACCAAACTTTTTCAGAGCTTGTACTTTCTTCCATCCTACTTTAGATGTTAAATAAATTTTATAGAACACTTACAGAGTAACTGACATGAACTTCAAGAGCATTAGTTTTAAAGAGATAGTACTATAGAAGTAAAAAGTATCACTGTTCTAAAATCAGCACATATTTATAATATAAATACTTTGAAATATATCTCTCAGTCTTACACAATCAATCATAATATAAAAACTAAATGTACAATTGGATTAATTATGTATTATGAAACATTAAAATAAAATACCAAAGAGCTACAGCAACATAATACTCAAATAAGAAAAATAGTGATATGTTATTTTTATTTCCTATTGATTTGTTACAATTTCATTCTATCTTACAAAAGAATGTAATGCAAACGTATAGAAATATCAGCCAACACGATTGCAAGGAATAATTTCGTATCGCATAGCATGCAGTAATGCCAAGTGAAAATGTATTATATTGAAGCAATACGATTAAACGAGCTTCTTACATTTTAATAAATTACTTTATTTCGTGAAAATGTATCCGGCACAATCGGTATTTCGAATAGATTTCGTTACTCCATTAGTGAACACTGGAAACAATATCAATCGGAAACATTAAAAGCTATAAAAAGTGTGAATACCTTGCAACTTCGTCAATGATTTTGTAAAACGATAAGGCTCTCTTCACCACGTCATTTTTATCGAAATATTTATTTTCTATATCTCACTATGATTTATGCCGTACTATCTATATACGTCAATATTAGCTTCGTAATTGGATCACTTGGAATTTTAACAAAATTTTTAATCCATGTAAAAATTTCGATATAGTCAAATTCTTATGTCAGTAATAACAATAATATCGAAAAGGATTTACGTAGACTTTCATTCGGTAATCGACATTTGCCAACTACGATACCATCAATCGTAACTTTTGTTAACTACGCTCAATTTTAGGTGATCTCCGTTGATTATGCAGCATGCTACCTTTCCGTGGCATAGAACTAACATTATATATGTTTCCCCAGCCACAACATGAATATAATATTCATATACAGGACACTCGATTCTCAACATTTAGTTTATTCCTTTTTCTACCACATTATCTTAATTTCCGCGTTGTATATTTTTATTTAAAATGTATGGATTTCATGAATGAATCTACGATACGTTTCAAACTATACGTAACCGAGCCAAAGTTAATTTCCCTATTTCTCTACCAATGAAGTGATCGTGAATCTAGGAAAATTATCTATCTAGTGTCTCTTGTAACTGGCTACATAATATTTACGAAAAGAATCGATTCAAAACTGGAACGAAACGTTAAAAATAAGATGAATTTTCGTTAACCTTTAATGCTACAACGATGAATGGATCGAAATAATAATTTTCGTACACTTTTGCAAGTGTATATGGAACTGTATTCTCTATGATCGTATGCTTGCATTGAATATCGGGTCGTAGAAAAAGCTTTGTGAACTTGACCAATCAGTTCGATCTTCAATGTTCCTGTCACTTGACAAGTTCCTATAACGAATTCGTGGAAACTGGTACTTCCATACATACATGCGATAACTACACTTTGTCCGTGTATTTTCCTTCGGACTCGGCCTTCTCGTCAGTCCACAGAAGATAGCCCTCTTAATGGTGGTTTTCGAATAATTCCATTTTGTTCGTTAACTTTTTTTAGCCGAAGAATCAATTAAAAAATGGCTGTGGCAGTCAGGACATTTTCAAAATTCACAGGTAAGACTCGAACGATACTCGTGTATCGTTCAATGTCAAAGTGAGACCTTTCTGTACTTGAAAGTGTTTCAAACATTTTTCAAAAATACTTTGAAACTTTACACACCCTTTCCTTGTGATCTCATCAAATATAACATTATTGTAGAAACTAAAAATACATTTGACATCCCGCGTTCACGTTAAAGCACCATTATGTAAGGATACAAATAATTATTAGTAATTCAATCTTTATGGGGAGAATGCTTTTAATTAATGTTCCATTTTAACTGTCAATGAGGTATTATGTAAATCTATATTAAAATTCCTGTCCTTGTCTATAAGCTGCAGTGAAAGCTTATCTCATAATACTTTTTTTAATTTCATATATATATATTTCTGTTCTTATATGTTTTTTGTGCTAATATTTCCTTGTCTGTATTAGTTTCTGTAACTGTTAGAAATTGTGTTTTTTTAGATTTATTTCAATAAATAGATTAATTCTTTGTTCTGTCATAGCAAATGTCATGCCAATCAATTACACATCATTGGATGATATTCAGTCACTGAACCTTGACCCAAAAGTGAAGAAATTTGATATTGTCACTATAAATAACATCTGGCTGAAGACAATATTGATTTGAAATGTATTGATGCTATAAAATAATATATACTTACTCTTATAAAGCTCAATGAAACTCAATTCAAATGATATATCAAAATAAAAATGGCTCTTAATTTGTGTTTTTCTTTAGAATCTTGTTTTAAAATGTATTTTAATTAACAATATACCTATATATATAAATTTAAAATAAATTATTCTTTTATGTTTCAGTCAGAAATTGTGGAAACTTATTACGTACTCAAGTAAGATTCAATTATACAGAAACTAGGAAAAATCTGAAAATTGATTCCAATACCAAAGTTATATGTCAAGGTTTTACTGGTAAACAAGGAACATTTCATAGTCAACAAGCTATTGACTATGGTACCAAATTAGTAGGTGGTGTTAGCCCTAAGAAAGCAGGTACAGAACATCTTGGAAAACCAGTTTTCAAATCTGTAAAAGAGGTTGGTAAATAATATTTGTTTACAAGTTTTATTTTCTGCTTTTATAATACTCTTTGTGTATTGTACATTTAAAAAATGTAACATTTGTTTTTCTTGTAGGCAAAAGATGCTACTGGTGCTACTGCCACTGTTATTTATGTACCTCCACCAGCTGCAGCAGCAGCTATCATGGAGGCAATAGATGCCGAAATGCCATTAATTGTGTGTATCACAGAAGGTATTCCACAACATGATATGGTCAAAGTCAAAAGGCGACTTTTGGAGCAAAGCAAATCTCGTCTTATTGGTCCGAATTGTCCTGGAATAATAGCACCAGAACAGGTGCAAAAATTTTTAATTTATATATGAATTTATATTAATTTTCCTATGTTCTGCTATTGAGTTTACTCTGTGAATATTGTTTCTAAAATCATCAATATTCATATAATGCAACAAGATGGTGCATGCATACATATATGTCACATATATTGCATAAATTACTTATATTATGTCACTATTTCAGTGTAAAATAGGTATTATGCCAGGACATATACATCAAAGAGGAAAAGTTGGTATTGTGTCAAGGTCTGGTACTTTAACATATGAGGCTGTGAATCAAACAACCCTTGTAAGTGAATGACTGTTGAATAAAATTAAAAAAATATATGTTTCAAATAATATGAGCAAATTTTAATTTAAGGCTGGTCTTGGGCAAACTCTTTGTGTTGGAATTGGTGGAGATCCATTTAATGGGACAGATTTCATTGATTGCTTAGATGTGTTCCTCAGGGATCCAGATTGCGATGGCATTATAATGATTGGTGAAATTGGTGGAAGCGCAGAAGAATCAGCAGCGGAATATCTCATTGAACATAATACTGTTGGTTGCTGTTCAGATTTAGTGGTACCCAAATCCTATCCTATCCTAATAAACCATCATCCTTTTTCCGTAATACCAATGTCTTGCGGTATCCGAAAACAATTCCTTGCAAATATAAAGTACCAAAATATTAATATATATAGGTAATATATGTCCAATGTAATTTTAGGGAGGTAAAGCTAAACCAGTGGTATCATTTATTGCTGGTCTTACTGCTCCACCTGGACGAAGAATGGGACACGCTGGTGCAATTATTTCAGGAGGAAAAGGAGGCGCGCAAGATAAAATCAATGCACTTGAAAAGGTTAGGGTTTACATGCATTGTTAATTTTAAGTTTGGTGCCACAATATGTTATTTTATCGTATATAAAACATTTTTTACAGGCTGGTGTAATAGTAACAAAGAGTCCTGCGCAAATGGGAAATGAACTCTTAAAAGAAATGACGCGTCTTGGTTTGGTCTGTAATTAAAGAACACATGCTGCTATAAACATATGTAGTTTGCCTCATGTGCATGTATCTTCATCCAATAAATTGAAAGTATAAGTAATTCTGCAATGATCTAAGAAATCAAACAATATAATGCTCTAAAATATGCAAATTTTTCGGATTAATATTAATGCAATGACTCTTTATTGATGTGCAAAATTGCCTGACTTCTACGCGATTTCTAAAAGACAAAACTTATGAAGAAAAATACATGAACATTTTTTTAAGGAGCTAAATTTATTTCAACACTGTGCAGTGTTTAAAAAATCCGTTTACTAATATACCTTTTATTTTAACAGTAACATCTATCCAAAGATCATTTAGAATGTATCCGAAAGAACGTTAACTGCCGTTATTCTGTAATAGTTTTCCTTACCTTGAAATTATAAATTTTCTATGCCAATACGACATAATTTTAAGAAACTGTTATGTAAGTAATTTTTATTCCTATTGTAAATTATCTTAAAGCTATATCTGTTGTAATAAATAATGGAAATTATTATAATACATACTCATATTGTAATGAAAAATAAAACATTCTATGATCGTACTGAAATATTTAAATTTGATAAAAAAACAAGTTTATATTGAAAAGCCCATTATTTGGTTTATTTGCTCTGCAATATGTATACTCTTGTTGTTAATAAAAGGTCTCAGTTCAGTAAAGTTCATTGTCTTGACAATATTTAACAAGGTTTCACAGGTACAATAATATAAATATTTATCCATGTAAAGTTGTTCTGCCAATTCCAATTGATGATTGTCCATTAAACTTTGGTTTACAACTACAATTAAATTTTTTTTATTTTCTAATGCATCAAGAATACTTCCTGCTCCTGCATGACTAATAACAAGATCTGCAGCCTTGACATATTCAAGTATATTTGAACTCAATGTAAAATATTCTATAGCAACAAAGCCACAACGTGGTACACAATTTGGTACAAGTGAAGTTTTACCAATCTGCAGAATTAGCTTGTTATATGCTTTCAATGATAATGCCTAAAACAAGAATTCAAAGTTTTTGTAATATTTCACAGTATACAGTAATAGTAAGATTGAAATGTTACCTCTAAAATTTCTGTAGTAAGTACTGTCTTAATCAATTCATCAAATTTGGTTGTGCCAACGGTGACAAATACATTTTTTCCTGATAACGCCATTTGGAACTTGATAAAATTTTAATTGTAAAATTCTTTACTTTTTATCTTTGAAATTATTATCAACGCGATAATCGTTTATCTAGTAAAAATGCTTTGAAGATAATAAACTCATCACATTTCTATCGAACAAGTAATTCGTTCGATCTTGACATATAAAATCCCTACAAATATGGTTAAAAAAATAGTGTAATCACAGAGTAAAGGTATTCGCATGTATTCTTCAGAATTCTGTGATGCAATGACATAATGACGTCAGATAATTTCATGCTTCTCTCAAGCTGTTTTGTTTACTACCACGAATTTTAACACAACATGCCAGCTAAAGTGAAAAATAGAGTTTTAACGTACGAAGGCTGCAATTATTTGCGATATCGTTTGTTACTTTCTACGCTTTCAGGAAAACCCGTACGAATAACAGATATCAGAATTAAAGATGATGATCCTGGACTTAAAGGTTAGTTTACTTAGCCAAAATGAAGCAGAAAAATACAAAGTATTGTATAAAATATTTAGCATTTTCCTTGTAACATATCTTTTGTATCAGAGTATGAAGTAAGTTTTATACGTTTATTGGATAAAATCACAAATGGATCAAGAATAGAATTAAACGAAACTGGAACCAATTTGTATTATAATCCTGGTTTATTAAATGGTGGTGAATTGGAACATGATTGTAGCTTGCAACGAGGTATTGGCTATTACTTAGAAGGAATTATGATATTAGCTCCATTCTGTAAAAGCCCAGTTGATATAAAACTTAGGGGAATTACTAATAATACTATAGGTTGGTAAGATTTACAATAAATTTTTCTATTAGAGTATAAATATATCTATTATAATTATATGCATTAATTTTTAAGATCCATGTGTGGACAGAATTAAAACAACTGCAGTACCTATATTAAAAAGATTCTTAGCAGGTGATAATGAAGTTGTATTTAACATTAATAAAAGAGGAGCAGCACCTTTAGGTGGTGGAGAGATTCGTTTCAAATGCCCTGCTAGTCGTAATCTCAAAAGTATTCAAGTTAGTCACATTTTTTACTTTACATTTTCTTCTGATAGTCATATTTTTAGATATATTTAGAAAAGTATATTTATAGCTTCAAAATAGTGGAATGGTAAAACGAATAAGAGGCACTGCATGTAGTATACGTGTTTCTCCTGCTATTGCTAATAGAATAGTAGAATCAGCCAAAGGTGTTTTACTGAAATTCCTACCTGATGTATATATTCATACAGATCATTGTAAAGGTGCATCCAGTGGAAAATCACCAGGTAATATTGCATTATTATTATTATTACATTTATTTAATTTTTATTTTCATTGAGTACTCATAATAATTACAAATGTGTCAGGTTTTGGATTAAATTTATTAGCTGAAACCACCACAGAAGTTGTTTTTGGTGGAGAAGCATTTTCACCTCTGATGACAACAGGTTCGTTACCCTGTGTACCAGAAGACCTTGGTAAAGAAGCAGCTATGAAACTAGTTGATGAAATTTATCGGTATGACAAACATAATTTTACTTGACAAGAAATACAGAGTAGTCAAGTTGTAACATAAATTTATGTGAATTTAGAAATGGATGTATGGATTCTCCTTTTCAAAGCATGACTGCAATGTTCATGGCACTGAGTAAAAAAGATGTTTCAAAAGTGGTAACAGGACCTTTAACACCAGCAATGTAACCAATTATTTGTTCTTATATAAAAGGTAATAATAATAATTATATAAACGGTAATATTATTATTGCAGGATACAGTGTTTACGTGATTTACGAGATTTTTTTGGAATCGTATTTAAAATTGAACCACTTAAAGAAGAAGATGAAATATTAGATCAAGTTGTTTTAACGTGTGTCGGTGTGGGATATACCAATATAAGTAAACGAACACTGTAAAATATTTTTTTTGTCGTATCATTATTTTTATAACTCGTATTTTTGTGTCATATTTTAAGAAATTGCTATAAAAATACTAAAGATTTTACAATACAAACGTTTGTAAGCGAGTTGGTTTCGCGGGCCAAGCGCGGAAAGACTCTGATTTCAATATGTTCCATAAATTTTGGTAATTTTTGGACCACTTTTTGTAGTCTAGATAAGTAATTTTTTTTGGATGTCTTATATTGCAATCAACATTTATATACCTGTTATAAGTGTGTAAGAATGTTTCAAAAAGAGCGCGCCTAGTTACGAGTAAATTATAACCTTTCTTTTTTTTAGTAGCTCCCTGTTTTCTACCTTCAACTGCTATTTCCGTATTACTGAAAATGAAACATTAATAACATTACTTTGGTTTTTCATACTAATTATAGTTGATTATACCGCAATATCAAAATATTAAAAATGTACCGATATCTTACAGCACACCATATGATACTTGATGGACATGGGTACTTTCTTTTGTGATTTTTCTGCTGTTGAAAAGAAAATTTAGCTTGCATAATTTTTAATCCAGGTGTTTCCTTGTTATTGAATCGCTTATGTAATCCACGTTCCATCGCTTCTAAGGAAAAAGGACATTTGCCTCCAACTGTGATAGTTTCCATTTTTATTGAAGGTATCAGTATTGATAAAAGTGAACCTTGTAATCCAAGAATGTTCCACCTAAAAATTATAAAATGCAATTACTGTATAATTTCTACATATATGTAGAAGGAGCTGTAGCTTTATCCAGTTTTATTTACTTTGCCATTTTGTCAGAACAAGACAAGCTAAGAGTTGGATTACCCCTTCCTGGTTTAGTACGCAATGGTCCAATCACATGATAATTCACCCCACCTAGATGAGGATCTTGGTATTGTTCAGTTTTAACGCATTTTGCACCCGTTCTATAAATATCTTTGATTATCTGTTCCTTTTTATCATTATATGATTCCATGATTACTTCTCCTGCATCATCATAATCATGTTTTCTTATTTTCATTGGTGGTGTATCATTTTCACAGAACTCATCTTTTGGAAATATAGAACAATCTCCACACGGTGTTTGGCTTGTGAAAAAATGGAATGATATTCCGTTGTTCAGTTTAAGTGTTTTCTTATCGTCCATTGTAAAAACATCGCTTTTAGTACCGTCAAGCAATAAATTAATCTGTTCATATAAATATCTTAAAAAGGCACGTCTAGCTAGAACTTCCGCATGAGAATCATTTAATCTACAACCATCCTTATATAATTCTGTATTTATTAAATCTATTTCTCCCAAACACTTTGTTCCTGTAGCAAGAGCTACTAGAGATAATAAACCATCACCTTTCCTTAATACTATACCTGACAATACAGTCCATTCTGTCTCTGTTGGTTTACCAGATTTACCAAGTTTTATATATTTATCTATACAAAGCTTTGCAATCTCATCTGCAAAATCTTCCATGCTATTATAATTGATATGAAATTGTTATCTTTAAGGTAATTATATACATTTATTTGAACATTTATTTTAAAAATTGTTTAATATACATTTGATGGATCCCAACAATATTTATGTTGAGGTAAAGAAGATAAAACTTTCATGTTTTCTTGATCAATAGTAAAATTCAGTTATATATTATCTCTTATATGCTCTTTTTTTACTGCTTTGGGAATAACACCAATGACTTGTTGCAAAGCCCACTTCAAAAGTAATCTAGCTGGTGATACATTAAGTCCAGAAGCTATTAGTGTTATAGTTGAGTCTTTTAAAAGATTAGTGTTGCTACTAGTTCCCAAAGAAGAATATTCTTGTACATATATCCCTTTTTCCTTACAATACTTAATTAATTCTTCTTGTCTGTAATGTGGATGACATTCAACCTGTAATATAAAAATATACTTTACCCTTATAATCAATACAAATTAAAATAAATATAAAACACAAACACAGTTACTATACTTGAATGACAGCTGGTCGTACCTCTTTATAATGTTGCATTAAGTCTTTTAGATGATTTATGGTATAGTTAGAGACACTTAGAGACTTCATAAATCCTTGTTTCTTTAACTCCACCAATTTATCCCAAGATTTGTTCTTAAGACTTGATTATTTGTAGAATTTTCTGGGAGGTGAGTTGCACCAAGCCAATTAATTAAATAGAGATCTATGTAAGTGGTATTAAGTGCTTTAAGAGATCTTTGTACAGATTGTTCTATACGTATTAGATTTCCATTATAACTTGGTACTGTCATAAAGATAAAGTATTAATATTATTTATATTAATATCATCTAGGTTTCATTCTTCAGTGATGCATACCAAGTTTAGTTGTAATAAAAATATTCTCTCTTCGAAGATTATATTTAGGTAATAAACTGTTTAAAGCATAACCTATGTCTTCTTCATTTTGAATGGTTCATGCTATATTATACAGGGTGTCCCAAAAATGTTGTAACACCTTGAAAGAGGTGGTTCGTGGGGTGATTTGAAACAACTTTTTCCTTAGCGAAAATATCGTCCTAGGTTTCGTTGAGGAGATATTAACGGAAAACACTGACCAATGAGAGCGCGAGTATGCCGGTTGAGCATAAATTACGCGCTAGGCAGCTGCGCTCATTCGCTACCGCGGCCGCTCCATCGGCATACTCGCGCTCTCATTGGTCAGTGTTTTCCGTTAATATCTCCTCAACGAAACCTAGGACAACATTTTCGCTAAGGAAAAAGTTGTTTCAAATCACCCCATGAACCACCCCTTTCAAGGTGTTACAACATTTTTGGGACACCTTGTATAAATATTTGTCATATATCTATGTTGCACTGTGTGTTCACCAGGGAGGCCAGCCAAGCTACCGTATTAAAAGTGATTAAATGGTTGGTACCATGACAGAGCGCGTTGGCGTGAATCATACTCGCATTTGATTGCGTTAGTAAACAGTGTTCAGAGATTTTTTATAACAAAACGGTTTGTTACTTTCGCTGTGTAAATCGTTTCTAAAGTGAAAACATGTGTTCGACGGAAAGTGGCACCACGAACGAAAGCATAAAATACAGTAACGATGTCGGAGACGCGTTTGGATGCTCCAGGTATGGTTTAACTGACACGAATGCTTTGTACAATTAAATCGTATTATGTATTGAAAGAATGTCAATGCCCTTGTGTTCACGACATTTTCCATATTGTACACCGATACGTGTAATATACTTGCATGAAACTGTTTAATTCAGATTATCTATTTTTAGAATTGATTGAAGATTGTGTTTTGATACAAATACAAATCTCATATTCCTTATATTCCATATAAAACCAAATCTTTTCGCTAAAATGAAGCAAATTAAATTGAATTAGTAAATTTGTTTATCCACAGTATAACAATAAAATAATATATAAATAATTAATATAGATCATTTCATAGGTTGGAATGTTAGTAAACAAAATAGATAATTTATAAAACCTGACAATTATGTTATTTCCATGCTGTCTTTTCATGTGTAATGAGTTAATGGTTTGTTAAATGGACCCACTATCAGGCATGCTCTTTCTTTATTTTACAGAAACAGTGTCAGTCCCCTTGCGGGCCCTTTACAAATGGCACCCACAGAACGTTATGCTACGCATTACAACATGAATCATTCAAAACGTGGATTAGCTATTATTTTTAATCATGAATTTTTCACTATTGCACATCTCAAACCTAGATGTGGAACAAATATGGATTGTGAAAATCTTATCACTACATTGAACAATCTTGGTTTTGAAGTAAATGATTTTCATAATTCAACACATAGAGATATAGTGAGAAATTTAGAAAGAGGTACTCAGTGGATATTCTACCCTTTTATAATTTTGAACTTCCTATTTCATTATCATAAGAATGTTCTTTTTAACACGTTCCTTGCCACATCAATTTTATTGTGACTTTCCATTCCGGCTGCATGAATCATAAATGACTTACACTGCTGAATCTTACTTTAAATGTTTATAATTTGTTTTACCATAACTACAATACTGCAAGTATCATTATTTTTTAGAAGAAGGATTAAGTTTTCCTACAAACTATATTAAGCATGACAATTGTGTTGTGATTAATGATGTTATAAAATATCTTTTTGTTATATTCCTCTTAATAGTGAACATCACAAACAACCTAAATGGAAAGTTCATCGTGAATCAGTGGTGGTCTATGAGGCATGAAACATGTTAAATTGTAAATTTAAACATATAACCAAACGTTCATTGAATATATTTTCAAAAACTATTTGTTTTCATTTTACAGTCGCTGGCATGGATCATTCTCAGCATGACTGTTTGATTGTAGCTGTATTGAGCCATGGAGAATTAGGATTACTTTATGCTCATGATACATCCTATAAACCTGATTCCATTTGGAGCCATTTCACAGCTGATAAATGTCCTACATTAGCAGGAAAACCAAAGTTATTTTTTATACAAGCTTGCCAAGGAGATAGATTAGATGGAGGTATAACAATGAAAGACAGAACAGAAACTGATGGTCTACCTGTTTCCTCATTTCGTATACCAAGTCATGCAGACTTTTTAATTGCTTATTCAACAATACCAGGTAAATGCTTTGTTAAAATACAATTTAATAATTGGAATAATAGTTAATACAGAATGATCCATCAGAAACAATACATTTAGTTCATAAAGAATGAATATCCTTGATAGTTTCATCCTAGATTATTAATGATAAAATGTATATGTGTTAGAGATTACTGAAGAACTTGTAGCTTTATATAGAAAAGGACATGTAAGTCTATTTGAAAAGTTATAATAAGAGATAACCAAGTGTTCTACTTTTGACGAACCATCTTGTATAATAGATTAAATATAAAGAACGGATTTCTTAAGAACATTATTTCTACAAAAATTATATCAATTGTATAGGTTATTACTCTTGGAGGAATACTACTCGTGGCTCCTGGTTCATGCAAGCATTGTGCATGGAATTACGCGAGAATGCAATGCGGTATGACTTGTTAACTTTGCTCACGTTTGTTTGTCAGCGAGTTGCTATTGATTTTGAATCCAATACTCCTGACAACATAACAATGCATCAACAAAAACAAATTCCGTGCATTACTACAATGTTAACTCGTTTAGTAAAATTTACACCCGCAAAAAATGGAGCGGTATAGTCATTTTATACATGAGAGATTTATGCAGTATAATAGATTTTATACAGCGTGTACCTTTTCATTGCACTAATATCACTACTCTGAGAGTTAAATGGTAATATTTTGTCTGTGCTACTCTCATTTGTAGTGTGTTTGCAATGTATTGCATTTAAATGATAGCATTTATCTTATAAACTGCCATTATATTATGCAAAAATTACATTATAAGACAAAAACATTACAGCAATACAATATAATAGATTTTATAGTATATATACATTTTTGTACTCGTCAAATTTAAAAAGAAATCTTACAAATCATATATCTTTTGCAAGATTTATAAAAAATATTATAGATTTATAGCGATAAAATTTTGAACTATAACCTTTATCATTTTTAAGCCATTATAAAGCCACATAAGGTAAATAGTGGTCGTACAAAAGTTTATTAAAATATACTTGGGATATTAGACATAAGATATTAAATAAGTACAAATGCAAAATAAAATTAAGATAGTGCTTTATACGTATTGCGGGTTGAGGATCATGGTTGTGTAAGTCCAAAAAAAAAAAATAAAAAAAATTGATATATTGCATTATATCACACATCTTCTGTGAGATTAATTCAATTTTTTTTTTTTTTTTTTTTTTACTTACACCACTATGATTCTCAGTTCACAATATAGCGAGGATCAATTGCCTTTTTAATTGCTGCTTTTAAACAAAGTTTAATAAGTAATTTATATACTAACTATACAATTATTATATATATGTACTGCTCAAAATAATTAGAGAATCATCTATGGAAATGAGATAATGTTCAATGCTATTCATTCAGTGATACATTGATCAAGGTAAACACTCAATAAGAGTGAGTTAAAGTATAAAGTAAACCTGAGAATATTTGAAATAACATTATACGATATTTATTTAATTCTTCCGAATTCAATATTTATCTCCAGATTCTCTAATTTATTTTACCAGTATATTTAGAAAGAAGTATTTTTGAGCCATTGTAACAAAAGCAACTTGAACAATTTATACAATTAATATAACTGCTGCTTTGTACAAACGTCAGGAGGACAAAACTTGTGTCTTTATGCAACAAGCAATAGTCTAACCTTATATAAAAAGTGACATATTTTCTACTTAGTAGTAAATGAACATGTCTAAATAGTTGTGATTATATAAGGTGCAATTATAACGAATATTCAAGTTTTATCTAACGTTAAGAGAAAAACTATAAAATTACTTACTCTGTAACTAGATTATTATGAAATGCATTTGACATATACTTTTGGAATTGCTAGCTGAAATATAAAGTTATGTTGCTTCATAGTTTGAGGAGTCATTCCCAAACGATGTAGATAAGAATTTTAGAAGAAAAGCGCAATATTGAAATGGCAAATTTGCTATATTTATAATTAAAATGGCATTATTATAATCAATGAGAACTTTTGATATCGTGATATAACAGTCTTTCATGATAAGAATATATAATTCTTAAATAATTATTAATGTAATTTTACAGTTTTTAATGTTGCTTCAAATTGTTTGATCACTTTGCCTTTATTACTGTATACTCATATATGTGGCGTTATTTGTGCGAAATATTTTTCACAAAAAAGTTAATTATTCACTTAAAGGTTAGTATTAAATGAAACGCATTGTTCCTTGTCGTAACAATTTTCAGTGTAATTTTTCAACATATTAATATTTCATATTTAATCGTATAAAGTAATTGCTCAACGATATAAGATAATGTTGCAAAAATATTTACAATATTTATTGTATCGTAAATTGTGATAAAATATGTGCTATTGAATTATGCTTGAGACTTTACAGCATTCTCTTACACAGTTTCATGTAATACTTTTATATAATCGAAAGTTTTTTAGTACATTTATACTATAGATTTTGTAAGTCCTTAATATATACTGCAATCCATATATTTGTCAAACTTTTGTGTACCAATCTTGTATACAATCTTTTAAAATAAAGTTAAAATTTAAAAAAAATGTATATTGTAACCAATAACGTAAAACAAAAACACCCATGTTTATTAATAAATAATATTAATATATTTTGTACGTAGAATAATTTGTAAGTACATACAGATATTATTTGTTTCTTCACAATTTATTTTTTTTTTTCATATTTTAACTCGTACAGAAATAATTGCATAATAAAAAATAAATATTACTGGAAATTATCTTACACTATGTATAGATACAAGGAAATTGTTTAATATATATTAAATATTTCTTAAATATTGCATTTTTGCGTTAAAATTATCAGTCGATTTGCAGTCAAAAAATAATAACTTCATTGTTAAAAATATTTGTCTCCATATAATTTTTTATTTTTTTTTATTATATTTATTCGTGATGGTCCCTGTTTATTACTTAAGTACAATAAATAATGTTAACCTTCTGTCACTTGACCAGGAATGTTGATTATTGTTATTTTATTTACAAAATGTTGTGAACGTTCTGGAGCGGTATATGGACGATTTGGTTTTAATTTAACTGAATTTGAAAATGTATTCAATGCCACTGGTGGAAGTGTTTGAAGACTTTTTTGAGTTCCTAAAGGTCTAGTGGTAAACTTTGTGCTTTCTGATATATCATCAATTTCAATAACAGATTCTTCAGTAGTAAGTGGTGCAGTCTTATTTTTGTGCATAAACATTTTCTTCAGTTTAGTTCCAGAAGCAACACCTATAAATATATTTGTATGTTTAAGATAAGTTATTAATTAGTCAAACTTTTTTTTTATCACAATATTACATACCATTATTTAAATGTGAAACACTCATTGGGTCAATTTCTTCCTGAAATTGTAATGAGTAAAATGAAGATATTTTAACAAATAATAATAATATAAACAATATTTGATGTATTACCCTTTTCATAACTAGTTCTCTGATTGGTTTGAAAGGATTAGAATGAATTGACAATCTTGATAATGTGTCTGGTGTTGTAGATCGTACTTCTATAACTTTATCATTTCGAACATTTTGTGTGTCCTTGAATCTATTGTTTAATACAGTGTAATTCTTTGCTACTGTGTCCAATAGCCATCTAAATAAATTTCGTATATATAAATTGAATCTAAGAAATTTTCTTGAATTGTTTGTTACAAAGATTGAGGAATCAATTACATACTTGTAGCCATTTTTAATGCCTGTAGTGGTACCTTTTGATTGACTTTCTCCTCCAGTACATGAACATATCTCCACTCTTGTAGGACATTTCATAGTATTAGCAGCATGTTCAACATCTAAGTTTTCAACAAGATCTAATTCATCTATAGCCCCTGATATGTCTTGTTTGTTTGCAAGCCTGTTATAGAAACTTATTACAGTAAAACACACGTTACGTTTTATTAATGTAAGTATAGTGTAAATATTGCATACAAGTAAATCTTTTGTGCAAATTTAAACTGGTGCATTTATATTTGTAAATGGTGTTCTGTGATAGAAGGAAAATAGGCAAGCATAAAAAATACATTCAATTTTCTTACAACAATAACGGTTTCCCTGAAATACATTCATGTGAAATTAATTCACCAAATACAACTTTATTTTCTGTAAGACGGGAAATATCACTAGCATCCACCACATATATAAGACCATGTATCTAAAAGATGCAAAATGGAGAGAGAAGAATATTTCAAAATGTGTTGTTACCAAGAGCATTTTTGTGAGGGAAAATATTAGATTTTTATGAAATGTAATCCTACTCATCGGAATATTTTAATTTATAAGTCTCATATTAATTACTTACACCGCTGTAGTATTTTGTCCACAAGGATCTGATTTGTGAGCTACCTCCAATGTCATAAATTTTAACCACATATGACTTATATCTTAACGAAACTGTTCGAAATCCTATTGTAGGTAATACACTTTTGTCTGAATCTTAAAAGTAAAAGTAAAAATACATTATCTATGTACTGTTCGCCAATTTAAAAAAATAATAAAATTACAAATAAAATATTGAATATGTATGGACATACAAATTTGACAAACAATAGAGTTTGTGTTAAATCAACACAACAAAATTGTGCAAAAAACAGAATATGTTCTATTACTCTATGTTCATTTTAGGAACAGCCAATTGAAGGTTAATAATAGTAGTATATACATAAAACAAGAAATTTGTAATAATAAAAAACGTACCACCACTTATACGGTTCAAAACAGAGGTCTTTCCCGCATTATCAAGGCCCACGATCAGTAAAATAATAGTCCTAAAATTACATTTCTGTTAAATATGCATGCTTTTTGTATTTGTTTATAATTGTTAAAAACTGATACATTACTTTTCGGTACATCTCTTTCGTTGTAACCTTCTTAGTAAACTTCGTATACAATTACCCATTATTATAAACCTAAGTTATGTTATAATGTTCAACAAATTGCGTCGATCTGGACGCTATGCACGTCATATTATCTCATACATTGTTTGTAATTAAGAAATTCGTTCAAATACGCAAATCAGGAAATTGATTATCATCGGTGAATTGCACGTTACACGCGTCAACACAAATCAACGAATGCAAAGTACAACCTCGTACAATTTTACGAATAAAATAAAAAAGATGTCAAATATTTATTTATTTTCTCTCTTACATCTATATATATGACACTATGTACGCATTATAATTAATTTATTCGATTGATGATAATCAGCATCTACTAAAATTATACATGTTTACTTCGAATAGTGGATAGGTTAATTTATTTTAGAATACAATTCATAATGTAAATGAAATACAAAAACTCTGAGAGTAATATTTTGTAAGGAGTTTATTTAGTACAAAATATACATTCTATCGTTGACATATCGAAAATACAGAAAAAAGATTGCAGATACTTCGAATGAATTTTCTGTTTGATGGGATTGCAATTCTATATTTCTAATTCTATTCTATTTTCTATTCCTTCCTGTGTTTATTCGATTTTTTTCGACTTTCAAATTTTTTTTCTCTCTTCGCAAAAAATATAATATACGCTGGTCCTAAAATCTGGACACGATACGCAATTGTACACGATTGGACCGTTTATAGTCGAGTTTCAATAACTGATATCTTTTTCACGTTGTTTCGGATAAATTATACATGTACAAAGTAATATACATTACGTAAGACATTTGTATAATTTCTTTAACATTAATTAACATAACATGTATTTGTATTTAAACATATTTATAAATTCGACAATTATTCGTATGCACGTGTGTATATATGTTTGGTATGGTTCGAAACGATTGCAATATTTTTGAAAGTAAATAATAGTTTCATTATTTTATCACAAGTAAACAATAAAAAATACTCGTAGATAAATTAAATGTTAAACAAAATCTCCTGAATTACACTATACTAAAAAATTCGAACATTATATTGCACACTTTAGGAATATACTTTGTGCAGCTAATAATAATTAATGTGCATATATTGTTTGCATTCTAATCTGTTATTGGATATATTTGCAGATAAACATGGCAAAATACAATTTTGAATCAACTAAAATTGGTTTCATTGGTGGTGGAAATATGGCTAGTGCCATTGGTGCTGGTTTAATTCATAAAGGTAATTAATTTTATTGTAATAGTTACAGATATAATAATTATTTTGGATTAATACAATTGTTTTATCATTGCAGGTATTTTAAATCCAAACAATGTTTGGGTTTCTGCTCGTACAAGTAGAACCCTGAGTTTTTGGTCAGACTTGGGTGCCCATGCTACATTCAAAAATGGAGAAGTATTCGACAATTGTGATGTCATATTTCTAGCAATGAAACCACATGTGCTCGATGATGCGATTGATGGATTGAAAGCTACAATGTTGTGCAAGTCTTCTAAACCACTGTTTGTCTCTGTGCTAGTGGGTGTCCCATTGGATACCTTAGCCAATGTAAGAGTTAAATTTATTCTAATCACCTACTTTGTTCTTAAAAAGATGTGCTTTGCATTTTGAAATATTTTCAGAAACTTAAGGATATTGTAGCTCAACCAAGAATCATTAGATGTATGCCTAATACTCCAATGATGGTTGGTGAAGGAATAATAGGTAAATACAATATGTGTACATGAATAATATCAATACTGTTTTTATAATATTTTTATAATTTGTAGTATACTCTACTATGAACACAACTGATCAAGATGAAACTATGATAAACACATTACTTTCGTATGTTGGTGTGGTTGAAACTGTTCCCGAATCTCTTATGAATGCTATAGGTGGCCTTACAGGTTCTGGTCCTGCTTATGTGAGTGTTATGTTAATTCTTTTACAAGAACCCATAATATCTGTAATAATTTTATAAAATAAAATAAAATTTCTAGGCTTATCTTGTTATAGAAGCATTGGCAGATGGTGCTGTAATGATGGGTGTTCCAAGACCCATGGCAACAAAATTTGCAGCTCAAGTATTAGTTGGTTCTGGTAAAATGGTATTAGAAACTGGTAGACATCCTGGTCAATTAAAGGATGAAGTATGCTCTCCAGGAGGTACAACTATTGCAGGAGTTCATGCCATGGAATGTGGTCAAGTTAGGTAAGATATAAATGAAAAAAAGTGTATGTAATACATTATATAATATTATTAATTATTTATTGTATTTATAGAGCTTCTATGATGAATGCAGTTCAAGCTGCAGTAAAGAAGTCAATTGAATTTGCTTCTAAAATAAAATAGAAAGCAGTACACAGTACATAGAAAGTATTAAAAAAAATGGGGCAATGGTGTAGTATTGTTTTATTCAGAATGCATTTTTAAAAACAGTTACATTATGTTCTGTGGGGTATATTTATTTTTATGTTCATTATGGTAGAATGAATAGTACAAAGAGGTAATAAGATAGTATTCAAATGGTAAGGTGATACACTACTTATGATAGGAGATCTTGATTATTTTCTATTGTTCAACTTTATTTTTACATACATTATATAGCAACTGTGGCTGTAGTAAGAAAGACCTGAATAATTAATATGTACTATTATTTAATTAAATATTTTACATCTTACAGTGTATACTTCTCTAAATATTTTATGTAAAAATATTATGTTTTTGAATACTCTACACAGCGAGAAGGATCTGTAGGATAGTATTCTTGACATTTAGTCATTAATCTTTTTAATGCTTGAATGTATTTTCTCTGAGTTTCATCATTCATTACATGTGCTACATTTTTGGAAAAGATTTTTTCTCTTCCTGTACGTGCATGAATACCGACCATAGTTACTCCAATAGGCCACGGAGAGTTACCTATAGCCATTTGTAGATATGCATCGCTTGCCTGTAATAAATTTCTTTGATGAAATGTTTCGAATTAAAATCACGTAATATATTAAATCTATATACTTACCAATATATAATTACGTTCAAGTAAATGTTTTACAATGTCGGTTAAACTATCGGTAATATCCTCTGGCAGAGATTTATTTTTTAATTTTCTAAGGAGAGGTTTTAAATATTCTCTTGTTTGCGCATAAGTAGCACTAGCCATTTTTCCTCTAGTGCTCATTTTTTCAGCAGTACTTCTACTATTCAATTGATTACCCCACATTTGCACTAAGAATTGTATGAATTGTGTAATGACATTCAAGTCAAAGTCCCTATCACCTTTGTTTAATTTAACAGACATCTTCTGCAAATCTTCATAAGTAACTTCTTCATCTGGCACATTTACATCTCCTTTTCCATTTCGATCTTGTGGTTTTGAAGAAGCTAATATTTCATTCAGATACGCTTGATCTACTTGTTCCATAGCTTCTTGAAAATCATTTCTGAACCCCTTTTATTCAAATAATATTAAAATATGTTAATATTTTATTAGTTTAAAACAGTATCAAGCATATCTCAAATTGTAAAAGTATATACCTTGTTTACTTCTGGTTCTAGAATTTCACATTTTCTTAATCGTTTAAATGCTTCCATTTCTGATTCTCCAAATAATAATACAGGCTCGCTTCTTTCACGTAATCTTTTAATAACTTCATGTCTAGGTAACATTAAATGTTCAGCACTACCATCTGTTATGCATTCTTCTTGTTGTTGAGTTGCATTTATCTTAATATCTTCGTCATTTGTCTTTTGTACTTCCTTTGCCTCTTTGTCCTTTGATATTAGCTCACTTCTTCTAAAATACTTTCTGTTGTTTTGCTGTAATATTGGTGAAATTAAGTTAACTAATTACAACATAAAAACATAGAAAAATACAATAAAAGTTCACAAATTACCAAAATGTTGCTTTCCTCCAACTGTTTACGTTTTTTCATTATCTCTGCCTTTAAAATATCCATTTTTTAAACGCACGAAGGTCAAACAATACTTTATTTTAAATACACTTTTCTAAAAAAAGTTATTTGTATATATACACGATAGTAAAATTAATTATTATGGTTGTAGAACAATGTTCTTGAATAAAAAATTAAAATATTTTCGAATAAGTGTTGTGCACTATCAATTACATGTTAAATATGTTAGTCGTATTTGACTAGAAAATCAAAACAAATTGATGCATACATTTGTTACGTTCATCGAATTTGTTTAGGTTATGTGTGCATTATTATGACAGATAGTACAATTTACAAACGTTATTGAAGAGGTCGCATGTTGCAAGCTTATTTACGCAAGCGTCAGTATTTTCATAAACGTTTCGCGGGTAATATGGCGTTGTGGAACAAAGTGTTGTCAGGTTTTGATAAAGAAGAAGAAACTGTTAATTTTGGTACGCGAACGATAGTAGAAAACAATGGTTCATTGTACGAAACTTCTACAATTGCCACGATACAATCTAACGAAAAGGTAAGTCGCTATCAGTTCTCATTTCGACTGCAACAAATTCTTGTATCTTAACGGTTTTTATCTTTCAATATTTTAAACACGAGTGTTTGCGAATCTATTAGATTATTGCGATTCTTTGAGTTTATTTTAAACAATATAATATTTTCCTTCATCCTGTATTAATTAATGATTTTGTTCTATCTGTGAACTATGAAATAAATAAATGCAAACTATAAATGAGTATCGATTCTAATTTAATTTCTTTTATATTATAATATTACAAATTGTTTTATTGCGTTAACTCTTGATAGATTCACAATATTTGTAACAATTTTATATTTTTTAACCGACTTCGAAAAGGAGGAGGTTACTCAATTCGACATGTATATTTATTTATTTTTTTTTTTATTTTTTTTGGAAGGCAATAAATGAGCCAAATGTTTTGGCATCCATGCAATACACAAGGCTTTGTGTTGCAATTGATAAATCAATTACAATATTTACGAATGAAACTTGTGAGGAAATATTATTAAGTATCAGTTTTAATTCATTAATAGTATGTTATTGCATCTCCGATGACAGTTCATTTTTGTTTGTTGTACTCTCAAGTGGAATTCTATATTGTCTTCATTTATTAACTAAAGGACAAGTTATTTTCTCAAAGTAAGTTAAAAAAATTATATCAGTGTTATATGGGTGTTTTATAAAATCATAATAGTTCTACCAAGTTAATCTTTATATGTAGAAATATTACAAGTGACACAAATACTATAAAAACAATATTATTACAAAATGAGTGTGAATTCATCAATATATATCTTGTTGCAAAAAATGGAGTCATTTACAGGTAATTATATAAAATTATTATGATTAAATGAAGTTTTCTATTATTCAAATTACCTATTTCAAAATCTGCAATTGTATTACAGAGCATCAAAGTTTAATGTTAAACTTATTAAAGATGCTATTTTTAATGAAACTAACATTACAGTAAAAGAACTTGTAGACCAAGTGCAATATGTACAGTTATTCAAAGGATTTTCTCATGATGAGGTAAATTAAATTTGTATTTTATCTTTCAACATTTCATTAACTAATAAATCACTTAGAAGAATGGAGATAATTTTATCTTCCACATAATTTATTTATAACAACCAAATATGTTATCATAAGATTTTTATAGGTAATATGTGCTACTATTGGTATAATAAATGAAGAAATATCAGTAGCTATGATATGTTCAAATATGTTATTTATGTGGCCCAGTGAACAATGTAATAATTTTAATTCAGTGTGTTATAATTATAGCATGGTAAAATTTTTAAAAAATCACATGTAAGTGTTTATGAACAATGTAGCATTGTATACTACTTTAAATACAAGTTAAATAAAAAATAAGCTATTTTATAGTAACATTAATAGATCACTTTTTTTAATGTTTATAGGTCAATGCTATGCTTATGTACAAATAACATATTACATATGGTATGCCCTCAAACTTTACTTGGTTTAAAAGTATATCATAAGCCTGTATCAGACTTTGTGATAATTGAAGATAATGACAATAGCTCATGTCAGATTCTTATTCTAACAACAAATGATAGTGAATGTGCTACTACACGTACTTTATGTGTCCTTTCATTCCCAGGTATGTGATGCATTAATTTAAAATATATCATAATTTATTTATGTTTGTTTTCTATATTATTACTTGAATACTCCATTTTCTGTAGAATTTGAACAGAAATTTCAAATAAGTGTACCTATTACAACATATCTTGTTGAAATTATGGATCCATGGGATGAAGTAATTTTATTCTTAGAAGGTGTCAATTACTTTGAGAATAATACTAAATATATAGACACAATTAGAATGAAAACTATATCAGAAAGTCTTCCTGAATATCAATTACAACGTTTAATAAGGAGAGAACAGTTTGATGGAGCTGAAGCTTTTGCAAACAAATTTAATTTATCCTTGGAACCAATTTATTGTGCAAAAGCAGCATTATTTTTATCACAACTTGGGCCTTGGGCAAGAAAAGTTACCAATCCTATTCAACTAGATGCTCTACTTAATATATTTGATAAAATAGAAAATGTGCAATACATAGTAGAATGTTGTAGCAAGGCACTTATACCAGACTATAAGCAAATGAGAAAAATTTATTTATACGCGCGCACAAGAATAATGGAAACTATTTCCAAAATGAGAAACAATGAACACCAAAATCTTCTGTTTTTAATTAACAACACATTGCACAAACTAGAAACATTTCACATGATTTGGGGATATTGTAAAGATTCTGAATTTTATAATGAAGACACCATGAAGGAATGGATAAGATTTTCACGAGCAAATTTTATGGAAGAATATAAAACTCATTTAAGTTTAGGTGAACTTGATGCAGCCACTCTGATTTGGACTAGACATCTTCCAGATATTGTGAAATATATTTCTGTAGAAAGTATGCAAAACATATTTGCAATTCTTCCTGAGAAAATATCTCCACCCACCCTTTGGCCATGGTTATCACATTTTATACCAACTTTACTATCTTTTATTCCTGGTGCAATGGGAGAAATTATTCTTTGGGGGTGTAACAGAGTTAAATCATTTGAACAATCGCATCGCGCTACATGGCCTCAAAATGGAATTGATTTTGCCAATAAATTTGTAAAATTATTAAGAATCGAAGAAAGTGACCAGTCCTTGCATGCTCATCGTGAATGCCTGAGTAAAGGTTCAGATCTAAAAAAATTTGTCTTCTTAATGCAAGCCTTGTCTGATATAAAAAAATTAAGAGGAAAGTATAGATTAACAATATTTCTGGATTCATACATTGGAGAACCAATTGAAGTATCATATATGTTGTTGAATAAAGTACATGTAGATATAATTCCACAATTTGTAAATACATTTCTAAAGCAGTACATGCTAAATAATTCTTTGCAAAACGATTATGTCTTTTCTACATACATACAGAAAACAATAAACAATTTTAAAAATTGGTGGTCTGGTGAAGAAGCACCTTGGGAACAAAAGATTGTTGTTATTATTGGCTTGATTCAGAATGTAGAGACTAAATTGCAGCAGACATTAGATGTATTAAAGAAAGCTTCAGTTCCATGGAGTTCCACTATGATAAATCTAGCAGAAATGAGCATTAATTTAGACCATGCTTTAGCGTCTCAAATTAGAATAGAATACAATTTTGTTCCAATAAAACTTATATTAAAGAAATACGGATATGAGCGTATTGGTATAAATGATAAATTTGTATGTCGTATAATAAAAGAAAATCATGATGACATGATTTCTCATATTGAACAAATAACTAAAAATGATCCCTTATTAAGAAAACAGGCATTTTCGTCTTGTACGAACTATTATCTATCTAGAGGGAATTTTGAGAAAGTGATGGAAATATTGAAGTCTTTAGAAACAGATATTTTATTATATTGCTGTGTACAAATTGTTAATTACGTAAGGGCCAGTTTAACTTTAAAGATCATACCTAAATCCCTTGAACATTTTATTGAAATGTTGGGTTGGGTGAAGTTGCAATTACAAGAAATGGCAAAAAAAAGTAAAAGTCAGTCACATTACTGCAACAGTGTTACTACTAGTATAGATGAAGTAAAGTCAATGTATTTCTTAAAAAAAGAGTTTCAAATTGATATCACAATCAAAGAATATTACACTGGTAAAAAGCAAGTATTACAGAATTACATCGAAAAATTGTACAGTGTAGATACTGAAAAAAATGATTGCTTGCCTATAAAGTACAAAAAAGTCATTAAAGTTGCAGATTTACTTCATTTACAAAGACTTGAAGCCATATCTTTATTATTAGAGTGGACAAAGGACGTAGATATGTTTAAATATTTTAGCAAATCCAAAGGACCACAGTTCCATTTAATGCAAGAAGAATGTCAGTATATACATAAGATGTGTTCATTAATGCTACAGTATGCTGAAATAGATCCAGGCATTGCAGTGAATATTCAGAATTTAATTTCTACTTCATTATGTGTTTGTTCTGATGATAAATTACAGTCCATGTTGCTATTACTTGTTTGGTCGAATTTGTATCAAGATTGTTTTAACAAAACTACTAAACACAGATCAGATGAACCGAGTACAATACAAAAAGAAGTTTCAAAAACAAATTGGAAATTGTACACGATATACAAAGATCTAGCTATTGCTGCAGATGAACTCTTGCTACCATTATTTAGAGACGTAATTTCTCTGCAGAAATTTCATATGGTTAAATCAAAATCTGATATAGAACATAAAGTAACAGATGAAACTGTTTTAAATTCCAAACCTCTAAGTATACAAGAGCCATTAAAGGAATTGCTTGATAAAATGAGGAAGTTAAAAGTGGAACATAACGATTATTGTTTATTGCAAATTATCAAGACATTATATTGCAATATTTCTATTATGCCAGATATACCTCCTACTTTGTTAGAAGAAACACAATCATTATATTTCCATTTTCTAATAGTGCTAATAAAAAAAATATTAAGCACACGAACATTCGATCTTCATCTTGGTCTGTCGTGTTTATTTATGTTACCCGAGTCAGAAGCGTGCAAATGGATTTCTACTGCTTGTAAATCATTGCCGCCAGATTGTACTCGACATTTAAGGATATCATTGCTTGGGTATGAATACTTTCGTTTGACAAAAAATCAATTATTAATTCAAACATATCAAGATAATAAAACCTTACACTTATGGGCACAAAAGTTATCAAAATATTCTATTTCGTACAAAGAGATTTTAACGAGCGATACTACAACTAAAAGAGAAATATTGCAACATATGATGAATTTTACTAGTGATCATATGGTATCTTTATTTGAAGAATTTTGCTTGAATTTTGGTTTTGATGTTCAAGATTGCTTATTACTTTATCTACAAACGATAATAAAGACGTGGAATCCAAAATTAAATATATGTAATGTTAATGGAAGAAAAGAATTACACATTGACAAAGATGAAGTAAATGAACTGGAAAAGAAATGTAACATCGTAGCTGCCAAGATTACAGACAAAGCTGCTCTAGTAAACTGCATCAACAGTGTTATCTCACAAATCAATTTCTATTATTATGAAGTATTCATAATCCTTATGGATCTTATAGGACACAAAAATATTGAACATATAAACTTTTTTTGTTTTCTTCAAAATTATACTCGCAATAGCCAACCTACGCAAATAGAACGTGACGAATGGATGCATCTTAATCCAGAATGTACGAATCTACCACCTATAGCAGAATGGCGTTTGCCCTTCTTACCTAAAGTTGCATTATGGACTCTTATAACTCCAGAATTAAATTTAAAGAGTTACGAAAAATGGTTAGAGATTGCTCCTGTTCTTAAATTACAATCACATATTATATCTACATTGGCCATTAAAGGCGAAGTAACCCACACGTGGGGAAATAAATATAAAACAGACAAATGGAGTCTTTGTTTGAGAAACAGTAGCTTATTAAATAATATAAAGAGATGTATAGAACGAATGGATGGTCCAAATGCATTATACTATGGCACAGCAGCATTATATTATGTTGTAAATCATACACCTCCAGGCGCTGACCAAGTAGCAGCACTTGAGGAATGTTATAAATATGCTCAACTATCAGTTCAGAAATCAACTACATTTGAAGAGGGAATGCTAGAGAAAATAAAATTTAAGTATTTACGTTTTACATCGGAACATATTTTACGTACACACGGCTTAGAAAAGAGGAACTATCTATCATTGATTGGAAATCCATATAAGTTGGTCCGCGAATTGTACACAGATGAAAGTATTCCGCAAAGATACAGATGTGTAATTGATCATAGACCCGATATAAATTCGGCAGTTAATTCTCTTAGTCAGTTGTTTTCTATCAACATGATGAAACTGTGGTTGGAATTATTACAAGAATGGTTGCAGCCAGAAAATAAATACACGAAATTTAATCAAAGTATAACGGATACATTCTCAGTCGTAAATTCCGAACCAAATTCGAATTCTGATGATAATTTATTAAGAGCGCGTTACATTCTAGAATACAGAAATCTCGAATTATCAGCTAACTTTCTTATAAATATTGCTTTTAATGAAAGTAACGAAAATTATAGCCCAGAAACACGTTACAGAGCTCTTCACGTGTTACAATCGATATTTAATACAGCTGAATTAGAAGATTTAACTAAACGTAATAATCAAACAATCAAAAAGTATATGAAATCTCTAAAGTACATAGATAGATTGGAATCATTGGGAATAGGTTACAGTATAAATGCGTTTGAAACATGTTCCAAGCATGAACTAGTACAGATTTTATGGAAAACGCAAAATTACTCAACACAAGCACTTATTCTTATTGCACAAATCTGCATAGATTTTGAAGTACATGATTATGTATTATGGGATAAAAATTTAACTCAATTAGCCAAATTATTAATAATTAACGATTTAAAAAAGATCTTACTACAAGTACGGAATATATGCGCTATTGTAAATTGTAACGGATATATATCAGGCTGGCAAGTAGTAATTTCTGAACCTTTTAGAAAAATGGATATTCATCCAACCTTTGAACAAATTAACAATTGTATTGAAGCACTACACCTTTTGTATTCTTGTCCTGTTGTACATGCATTGTCTTTTAATGACATTATGAAGTACTGCTTTCATTGCCAGCAACCACATATAGCTGCTGCTTTTTTACCTTTCTTGGATGATGATGTTAAAGAATATGTTTTACAGGTAAATAGATTATGTTTAACTTTGTACACATTCTGAGATAAATTCAAAAATTAGTGTAAATTACATTGTAGATTGCATTACATCAGATAATGAAATTACATTGAAATTTTTATTATTAAAGTAATACTTTTTATAGGAAATTAAAGATACAGGTAATGTTAACAAAGTATTGGAAGATTTAAGTAATTTGTCATTAAATGGAATACTTTGTATATCATATGTAAGTACTGAATATTTATGATATCAATTTTCTATGGAAGGAAATTTTTGACTGATAGTCTATTATTTTCTTTCAGTGCATTAAAGTTATACAAAATACATTGTTAAAAACAAATATGTAATGACATAATTGGTAACATTATTTCCATACATGCAGTCTTGTGTATTTATACTTTGTATACAATTGTTAAATAAATATTTATGATACATTTCATAACCTTTGAATTTAATTATTTATGAATTATTTGAAGATGATAATTATTTAAAAGAATAAAATGGTACTATACATGGCATATACATATTGAATAAGTTTTAAATTTATTAGTTTTTTCCAATGTTATGCCATACCATCCCATGGCTCAGGATAATCCTCAATTAATAAAGACTTATTTCTAAGCAATTTTACACTAATAGAGTCGACGTTTCCTTTGGCCTTTAATAATATAGAACGATGTACTATTATTAATTTTGGATTTTTAGTATCCCGGTCAACAACTAAATCAATTTCATCATCAACCTCCACCTATACAGTGAATGTATAATGAATCCTTTTGTTTTAGTATATAACTTTTCTGCTTAATTATAAGAATATCATTACCTGGTGAGATTTTTTTAGAATTTTCTTTCCATTAATACGAATATTGCTATCATAAAATGCTCTATCTATCAAGCTATAACAAATTAAATTTAAAATTATTGCTTCTATATGCTACATAGTAATTGCATTGGTTTGATATCACAAATAGATTGCTTGATATTTTATACATAAAGTTTCAAAGGTTTGAACTATATTTCTCAATATTTTATTTATCAAGTAATTTACAAGATCATACTTGCGTGACAATCCAAATGCTACCTTAGCAATAGCATCTACACGAAGAGAAGATACAGTAGCATTAATTATTTTCGAATTTTTTGTCAGTAGATAATCATCTACTTCGAGAGATTCGTTTTCTTCATTGTCATTTTCATCTACCTGAAAAAAATGTGTGCAACAAATATATAAATATACTTTGTTGTATTTGTTTATTACAATAAAAATATATTATATTATAAATATTCAAACTAGATAATATTGTTTTGATTACTTCTTCAGAAGCTTCTTTCTTGCTCTTGAATCTTTTAAGTATCATGAGGTTAGAGTTTTGTTTTAAATACAAATGATTTACAATTAAATTATATTGTTGACAATTAAATTTCCGTACATTTCGTAATGTATGAAATATTCGTTTATTGTCACGTATTGTCCTCTGCACGAAATTATAAATCGTTCTAGACAACATCGTACAAAGTTTTTTGTCTTACGTATTAAGTATTTGCATATACTGAGTTATAAGAACATATAAGAATTCCTGTACGAATAGTATTCTTACAGAATTAAAAATTGTACTGGAGATATTAAACTAAAACTCATACACACAATGTGTTACGCATTCCGGCATTCCTGTCTTCACTAACCTCTAATATCTTCGATTTCGTCCATCTTTTATAATGTTCCAAATTTCGTTTCTTTGTACTACTTATGAAACATTTGGTTCTAAGGAATTAAGCTACTGCCTCATTTTTGCTTCGTAAATTATATATACTATTTATAGTCATAGTTATGATAATTTGGAAATGGCACTTGTTTAAAATCTATTATTTTTGGATATGTAAATAATAATACATACATATAATGCAATATTATTGTTACAATAGGCACTAATAAAACATATAAAAAAATTAATCAGATATTACTTAACAATATTAATTATGTTGTACTTCAAGTTTGTTATCTTCTATTGGATCATGGAGTAAGAGTTCTGATTGAAAATTTAAATATTTCTTAATATGTACTTTATTTTAAGAAATTCTTTTCAAAATACATATAAATAAAAATAAATGCTTCCAAGTGGTATTTAGAACATGCATCTATGTAGTTACATTTTGATTGTTATTTAACACTATAATTTGTATTTTCCATAAGAAAATAGGACAGCTAATATTAATTAAATAATGTTCGTATGACACTTTGTATATACCACTGTATTGGCAGCAGAAGAGTGCTTCTATGGAGATAGAATAAATTAAATATAATTAAGATCTATTATCAACATTTTTTTTATGTAATCATGTTATAAGTACATTTGAAAACATAGGAGAAGAATTGTACCATTACTTTTTATTATTAATAAAATCAACTCTAGAATTTTTTGTGCAAAGTAATAACACAATTTCTATAGATTATCTCATTATGCATTACTAATTGTGAACCTGGAATAGGAAAAACATGATATATATCACTATAAAGCTCCCTTGTGCTGCTTTATTAGTACAGAAATTAGTGGTTTTACAGAAATTTTAAGAAAATAGATAAGTGTTATGTTTATACATTACTGATGATTAAATTTGTATCTTAGTGCATGTACATACATTTGTATTCTAATGCAATCTTATCCTCCTTGTTTGGTTTATTGTGTTCTACCTAAATTGACAATATCTTAAATTGAGTCAATACTTTCATGTCTTTCATTTTATCATTTCGGTTTGATTGTTTTCCTCTTTTAATAAAGATGTTCGTTTATTGATTAAACGCGATTCGAATATAAATTTCGATAAAACATTTCATATACAAATAAAATCAGATTCTTGGTGACTAGAATATTTTTACACTTCATACATTCATTCTTTGTATACTTATATGCAATAATACATAATAAAAATTATAAACGTTACATTAAAAATAATATTGGACTTTGGTTTGTAGCATCCTTTGCTGTTTTTTTTTCTTTAAAAAAAGAGTCAATGTAAATTACCATTGTTAAGTGCACAAGTTGTAAGTAGTGTAATTCATCTTACCAATAATACTCATGAATTCAAAATTTTGTTTTCATTACAAATTTCGGTCGATTCCATTCTCATTTAAAATAAGGAAGCAATAATTAACAGTTGCTAGAGAGAAAAAAGAAAAGTTTCAAATATAAATTGAAATAGTAGAATAAAGTTTTTATTTATATTGTAATATTGCAAAAAAGTTATTGAATTAATCTTAAAAGTTAAAAAAATCTGCTTTAAGATCTTAAGATTAAAAATCTTAAAAAGATTGTGCTTTGTCTAGTTCTTACTTTTAATGGATCTAAGTTTGATACATTGTTATAATATGTAATCTGACTTTGGATTGACATTTCAAAAATCTAAAAATTTACTAGTAACTTTTTCTCATAATTCGATATATACGTAACAAATAAATAACAGAGTTCACTACGTACACGCGATAGTAATTGTAAAACAAATCCACTACTTACAATAAATGCAAATTTGCATATAATTATTATATTACAAAAGTTGGTGCTTGTTCACTTTATATAATAAATGTGTCACGTTTATGTACGTATGTACACAATATAAAAACTTCCTAGGCTTAAACATGTCGTAGAATAGCAATAATATCTTGAGTTGTGCTCTTTGAAGTATCAAAGAAAAAAAATTGTCTTACACAGGAACTACAAATGTATTGTACGTCCTTAACTAAAAATTTAATTTATATACGATATCTTGCAGCAGAAAGTGTCAGAAATAAATTTTCTGTTGAAAGTTGTAGCAAATACAATAAAGTGTAAAGCTTACTGCAAACATCTCGCGGCACACTCTATACTTCAATCACATGACTAATTACTCAAATAGATTGTGTACATACCGAAATACTTTAAGAGGAAAGAAATCATATTATTTCGTCATCAAACTGTGCTTGATTGAAATTTAGAGCATGTTATTACTATGCTACAGTATGTACACTCAGCAAGCATTAATATGCCTCATTCATAATTCACTCTCGCTTACACTAAGAATTTTTCATTTTAAATATGATGACGTATCTCTAATTCGTTTCAAAATTCATGTTGAGTACAAATATGAACAAAGTATGTTACGTAATATTCGTTTTATAAATTTGAAAGCATATGGCACGCATGTCCTATCTTTTTATATTCTAAGCTTCTTTTTTAAATATAAAAAAATAGCATGTTTACGAGTAGAGGAATATTTGTTAGTCATCATCATCACACTATTTTTTTTTCATTGAGTCCTTTTATAAAGAGAATGTAGTATCTATGAAAATAATATTTTAATATTGTAGATCGGCGTAAACGAAGTATGTTACAGTATAATAGTAGCAATGAAAAATTCACAATAATAAATTAGATGCAAGTAATTCAATACATAAGAGAAAAGTTATTTGTTCTGTACAATGTACTCATTATTCTAAAATATGTGATACTGGTTTTTTTTTAATTCTGAAGATTTATATAAATTAATTTTATAAAAATAATAATGGAAGATTAAAGATATCATGGTATTTTTTTTTAAATAAATTGTGCTATGTTTTTCATTTTATAGGCATAATTTACACCTTACGTTCGTCACTGGAAATGAAATACATTTCCTTACACAATTCAACATATATTTTGATTATTATTTTTCCAATGCAATCTCAATTACTATTAAAAATAATTTAGGGCTGATAATCAGATTGCACCTGTGCAACAATCTGTAAAACTGTATCTGCTACAGGAAACCACAGCAATACAATTCGAAATAGATGTTTCGTATTACACTTCTTTAAAAATATTCTGACTCAAAACATGGTCAAAATCAAATAAATATCAATATACATAATACACTATTTTGCTTGTATTATGTAGGTACAAGAAAATGTTCGAATTCTAGACAATAAAGTCTCATATAAACCTATTAAATTCGTCCACAAAAAGTGTACAAATGTTTGTTGGCAGTATATTATACATAAATGTACCTTTTTCTGTTGCAATGCGAAGAAATATTACGATCGCAATATTCATAAAAAAGTTCAAGATAAGTATAAAATATTTTCTGTTACAAGATTTTTCAATTCCTTTATAAGTTTTTTTTTTTCTAATTTCGCTATTAAGTAAGGGAGTCTAATAAGATACAAACATATATTGTCTAGAACTGACATAAAAAATGCTCGCATTGTTGATTTGATTTTTTCGTTGCTATGGCACTGTACGTTGAAATAACACTATATAATGCTATTTTACATTTTATAAAAATTGTTAGTATATTGATTGTTATATCTATTATATGCGTGTACTAAAATGAATGTTTTCACTATTATAAATATAAAAGTTTTGAAGTCTGGCAGCTCTCATGAACAAAGTTCCAAGATTCGACAGTGTTATTTATAAAAACATTAACTTTATTTCAATATTATAAATCGAGACACTAAGTTAAAAAATTACATAATATGACAACAAAATGGATGTTGTCATAATATAAAAATAAAAAAATTACCTGTAAATATGTATAGTTTCAAGATTATGAGATTATTTCCTCTTGACATTGACTAGTACATTAATTATAAATTTATAGGTTAAAAAATGCTACAAACATGATACATATAAATCTATAGTAAATTTCATTCATTTGAATTTCATAAGTAAAATGGTTAAAAATTTGACCATACTTTTTCGTTGTCCAAGTTTTCTTTTTAGTCTTACAGCATTAATTTTACAACTTACGTTAAAATAAGGAAGCTGTAAATTGTACTTTATTTATGACACGATAAACTACAGCTGCCAGAAAAGTTGTTTAAAATGTATGGTGTGCTATCTCCATTTCAAAACATTCATATTTTCTTTCATTTCTTTATGACAAAATTAATTTCAGTCTGTCAGTTTATATATGGCTTTACCTACATCGATTCATTCCTGATCATTTATTGTTTATAACATAGTGCATCTTCTCTGTCTGCGTTTTTGAGGTTCTGGTCTTAAGACAGCACGTACTGCTTCATCAAATACTTGTTTCAGACCACGTTGCGTGAGTGCAGAACATTCCATATATTTCACTGCACGAATCTATGGATTATATTTGAAGTCAATAAGGTTATAATAGAGTTTTAAAGTTTAAGTGAATTTTGCGGCATAACAGGAAATCATTCTGACCTTATTTGCCAATTTTTGTCCTTGTTCACGTTTTATGGCACTGAGGCCTTGTTCAGCTAAGGCAGTAAGTGTTTCACGATCATCTCGTAAGTCTATTTTAGTTCCAACGAGTATCATTGGTGCATCTGGGCAGTGATGTTTTATCTCTGGATACCATTTACTGGTAACATTTTCAAACGATGATGGGCTTGTTACAGAGAAACAAATAAGAAAGACATCAGTCTGAGGGTATGAAAGTGGACGAAGCCTATCATAGTCTTCTTGACCTGCTGTATCCCAAAGACCCAAACTAACAGGTATTCCATCCACAACCATGGGTGCTGAGTAATTGTCAAATCTGTATAATACAATGAAAACTATATTTAAGTATTCAAAAATTAAAGGAAATTAAAAAAAGAACATTTGGTAAGTTGTTACAATAAAAATCTAATAGCAAACTATAAATACATTTAATATATTTGACTTAAATATCTTTCTTAAATATATACATTTATGAAATAATTACATATTTAAATGAAGTTTCAAAAGACTAAGACACAAAGAATGTTATAAAAATATGATGCAGAATGGATTACTTCCTGCAAGTAATGGAAGGGTGTCCAATACTGTTTTACTATTATTAGCCACCCCATTTCACTACTCCAAGAAAAAAATGAGTAATAAAAAGTCATTACAAAAATACTGTCCTCAAAAATAAAAGTATTTCCCCAAGGAATTCTTAATTAAATTCTCGATTTTATTCATATTATATTGTCATAAATAACGCAAAAATATTGTAATTCGTACAATAGTAACACTTACACTGTGGGTACGTATTCTCCTGGAAAACTGTCTGTTGTATATGATATTAACATACACGTTTTTCCTACAGTTCCATCTCCTACCACCACACACTTGATTGGTCTACCTGAACTCATGTTTCTAAGACTGAAGTAACAAATAAATATCGTTATTTCGTTGTTAAAATACTATATTTTGATTAGAAAATTACACAAGGCGGGTTCGACTTTTTGTACTACTTCGAACAAAAGAAGACAGCTAAGGAGTTTGCTTTGGATAACAAAAAAGCGCTAATAACAGCGGATATTTAAAGGTGTTAGCTTAAAGGTGTTGTCGTTAACAGTATTTTAAGCAGATATAATTTAGTAATTTGGTAAATAACGGTTACCTTCACGTGACACTGATACAATCGTCAATTACAATCCTACAGTCCGTAGAAACTGTAAGGTACGTTTAGGCGATGAGAAGTATTTTTCATATAAAACGTTACACCCAAAATGTATTTTATATCGATACTGCGCGTATCGTTAAGTCATGTAAATCTGTCAAATGATTCGAGGGTAATAAAACGATACACGTTTCAGATTTGAAGGTTAGTCGTGAAAGTATGTGGCTCTGGTTTAATTGAAGGGCTTGCCCTTCGATTTCAGTTTCATTTGTTAGGTGTGCAATCGGTAAACAAGGGTTTATCGGTATCGCTCGATCACTCACCAAATATGAACAAACGTTAGAGTAGAAAAAAAAATCACTACTTCGTCACGATTTCGATTGCGTGTATATTAGACTTTCTTCAAAAAATGATAAAACCGGGTGCCATGACGGTATTGCGGTTTTTGGGACTAAAACGGACGTAGCTGGACGTAGCCTTCGCTTGGTGACAGATGTTCGACAATCCTCTTCCTTCCCCTTCTACGGGGCACGATTATTATTCAGAAATGATGAATGGCGACATCTGTCGAAAAAATCTTTTTGGTAGGATCCATATCTTCGTATGATGTCAAATTGTGTAGTGATATCGAAAGTATTTTGCATATATAAAAACATCTACATTTGCATAAGTAACTGATGACAATGAATTTTATTATATTAAATTAACTTCTTACAATACTATTCTACACTGCTGCAATTCTTCTCAATGATAAGCATTTCAAACGTTCTAGTAATCATTGTTTTTATTTTATTATTTATTATCCTTTGGAAAAACTGATGTAATATTGTATTTAAATTACTTTATACAGATTCTGAACATATTTCTTTTTCGACGATTATCCGAAAAAGTTCCTAAAAAATTGTCATTATATGTGGATCAGCATTTAGCATTTAATTTGATTGGTCATTGAGAATCAGAGCTAAGAAAAATATGTCTTTCAAAAAGTAAATAATTTACTTCTAAGCCGATCCATTCCATAATCGAAGTAAGACGCTAGTATATTTGTAAGATCATGTCACTTTTGAGTGTATTGAAAAGTTTGTGATAGTGAAATACGTTTAGAAAGGTTATACAAATTTTTCTTTTATATTGGAAATGATTGATTTAATTTCATCGAGAGATAACGTTTTCGTGTGGAGTGCAGAAGGTAACTATCAAAAATATATATTGTTTGGTGTAAATATAAATTTATAAGTATACTTTCTTATTTTTATCTTTCAGACTGGTTAAAACTTAGAAAAGATTATAGAATAGTTGGTGATTTAATAGGTTGCCTTCCAAAAAAACCTAGGCAAGATGTACTTTTAGGTCTTCCATTGCTCTTACAACCAGAAGAAGTATCTCTTCTACTTGAAAAAAATATTGTACGACTTGTACAGTATCCATGCTTTCAAAAACCACCAACTGATTCATTGAAACAATCTTTTGAAGAATATAGGAATAAGTTGTATATAGAACAAGAAGAATGTTTAAGAAAGGAAAGAAAAAAACAGGTAACAGGTGTGATTTTTTTAAAAAAGAAATTCTTATTAAATAATAAATATCGTTATAGGTAATTGGAGTGATGGACAAAATTATAGAAGGAAAGAAACGAAAGATACTTGGTATAGAAACAAGAAAAAAAAAGGCAAAGAAAACATTAGATCCAAAAGTACAAGAAGCTCTTAATAATATTGAGATAAATAGACAAGATTTATTAGAAGAAGAAATGGCAAAATTACCTAAACTAGATAAAAGTGATGCTCTAGTTCAAACTCATACAGGTAAGGGAAGAGAAAGGTAATGTTAATTGCATTATGAATATTTATATTTATTTCTGAAGAAATTGAGACCAATACAATTTCAGTATACCCATGGGTGGATAATGTTGAAGTAATTGAATGGAAATACCCCTCCAATAATAGAGAAAAACTTCGATATAAAACATATAAAGATCTATGGGAAAGAGGATATTATGTAACAAGTGGAGGAAAATTTGGTGGAGATTTTTTAGCATATCCTGGTTTGTAGCATGCAATCTATTTTTCACTATTTATATAGTATTTGCAAAGTAAAATAGATTTTCTAATTTTCCATTATTTTTGTAGGAGATCCCATTATGTTTCATTCTCAATTTATAGTTCAATGCAAGGACAGAAATGAAGAAATTCCAATAATTGAACTGGCGGCTCAATGTCGTATTGCATGCCATGTTCGAAAGACACGTGTTTACGCATTCTTTTCTGAAGATCAAAATAGTATAACGTATCAATCGTTTCAATGGGCAGAAAGTAATATACTCGAAAATGGTTAATGGCTTGTTATATACTATCGATTTTGGAAGGGGAATAAACTGAGAAATGTACTATTTTCCTGCTGTCATCAATTTGTACTTTTAATTCATAAATGAAACGAAAGTATAACTACAATATTTTATCTACACAGTATCAATTAAAATAAATCTGTCATGCATTGGTTCAGGAATAACATTAAAATGTTTCTTGTATATAGGGGTTTCTCCTCTGCCTCCATAGAAACGTTGAGCCCAGGAACTTGAATTTGGATTGATTTTTTCACATGTGACCATTACTGTTCCAGGTTCCATAGCATATAATGTACCATTACGACCCATACCAACCTGTCATGAAGAAAATAACAAACATATATGTCATACACATTTGTATACTAGGAAATATTGTTCCATAAATATAAATTTTAAAAAACACAAACTTACATAAAGTCCTGGATGAAATCTAGGTGTAAGTTGTGTAGCTAATAACTGTCTTTCTTTAACTAAGTGTCCATCTTGTACTTTCCATCCTCTATGTTTTGGTCTTGGATGACCAGGTTTAATTCTTGTACTGCTGCTGGCTTTTTTTGATGCATATCTAACACATGCTGTTAATCATTTAAATTTTAATTTGGAAATAAATTTAAATGTTAGGATAAATTTGACAATAAGAATGTAGTGTAAGTACAAATCAATTTTTACAAACCTAAGTTACTGGTACTAGTATTGATAAAAGGTTTAGTAGTTTGCAAACTACCAATAAAATGCGTTAAGAGGCTCATCTCTGAAATACAATTATTTCAATTATTACACACTATTCTTCATATGAAAAATCATATACAAAACGTATTCAAATTATATTTCATAAATGCATAAAATAGCTAGCCATAACCTAAGAGCACAAGCAATCGAGTCTTAATTTAAGAAAATAACGACGGTGTAATATCTTCATTGCTATTTAGTTTTGTTCCATTCAATTTATATTGATATACACATATATGAAAACTGGATATGCTTGGATATCATTGAATATCGTTGGATATCGCTTATAAACAATTACCTTTATCAATTTTTAGATGCAAATGTAGAATCTAACATTTCTGAATTGATCTACTGATTGGGTGCATCCAGAACCGCTCACTGAGTCGCTCAGTGAGCGAGTTTCTAGTACTAGTGGCGCCATCGGTGGCAAAACGGCCAAGTTTGTAGTGAAAATAGTTTTCACTATTTTTGTAAGATGGCGCCACTAATAACTTGTAATTAATTATTCTTTATTTTTTATAAATCCATGATTAATACGATTACTTGTTTTATAACGCTACAATATATTGCTTAATATATCAAACAAATCATTTTTATGAATAGTTATTTAATGCAGAAACAATGTTAGACCCCTTTAGTTAGTGGTGCTATCTAATAGCAACGGCAGGAACTATTTTCACCACAAACTTGGGAATTTTGCCACCGGTGGCGACACTAGTACAAAAACCCGCTCATAAAGCGGCTTAGTGAGCGTTGATCTTTCTGAATGGACCTATTGTAATATTTTTATTTTATATATTGATTAATCTAGTTGTACCTGTTCTTATTTGTTTTCTTTTATTAATTACGAACAATAAGAACAAAATATTCATTATTATGTTTAAAACTAATTTATCATGATATTTTTCAATGTATGTTCTATATGTCAAGCAACCATTAATTTTTCTATTATCAATAATATATGTCCGTAAATCTAACGTTAGTAATCATTTTTCCAGAAGGTAATAGAAAACGTTCTTTGTCCACAATTTTAAAGCCAATTAAAAAGGAGCGCATAACAAATCAACCAATCATAAGTGATGTCAAAGTTGTCCCTAAAAGGATGTAAGAAGGATAGGCGTCGCTGATCATCGCCATTATTAATATTAGTCACACGCGGATCCATTCGT